TTTTGTAAATTTTCAACATTATTGTTTATTAATATAAATTTATATAAGAACATTATTTTTGAACATAATAAAACCCAGACGAGTTAAAATAAACGATTAAAATTCTATAATAAAATGAATATTGTTAAAAATCTGTTTTAATATATAATTAATGAATATTAAATTAAATTAATAAAAAAAAAAATTGTTTTTATGTTTAAAATATAATTTTAATGAATAAAACTTAACTTTATAAAAATGCAGGTGTAGTTTGTCGAAAATTAAGTAAATTTTATGTATTGTTTAAGTAAAGTAAGCTTATAAACTGGATATAAATCCAAAAAAAAAAAAAATTATTTAGAAAAAAATTGATAACTTGGTACGAAATAAAAAAAAATGGAATTTTAAATTAATGCAGGTGTAGATTTTGGTGTAATAAAGACTTGCATTTTTTTATTTTTCCTAATTTTTTTTTTTTTAATTTTTATTGCTTGTACAACGTTCTAGTAATAAAAAAAAAAAAAAAAATTAAATGCAGGTCTAAATTTATTAAAAAAAAAGGTAAGTACTCAATTTTAGATTTTTTTATCTAAAAGTGTTGATTGGAGCACTCGTAAAAGTTTTATTTCCAAAATTTCATCGAGAAAAAAAAATTGTATTTTATATACAAATGAATGCATTTGTAAGAATTTGAAAATTCTTACAATCGCATTCATCGCTGAGATATCGATTTTTAAAATCTTCGATTGTCGGTTGTCGGCTAAGTTCACACTCATTAATATTTTTATAAAACTTTATTTTCTTAACATCGATAAAATTATTTTCATTTATTTATTTTATCATCAACAACACTAGTTTTGACAGCTGGGACTATGGATGGTCCTCCTTACTTCTACCCTCCATAGCTGGGACGTACCAAAACTGCATAGGTGACATCATATTTAAGGCTAGTACACAACAGCTTCTCTCATAGGGATGCCGTGTATCGGCTCCGGAATATAATACGTGTTTTGTTGTAGTTCAAAACACTTGCATTTATTTTCCCTTACTATGGAGTTAATTTTTACGACCTTCACCACCAGAGAGCAGAGCTGTCAAAATAAACCTACCCGGGACTTTATGAACTAGTCTTGATACTGAAGTCAGCTGATATCTGTCATTTTTTACTATTTTCAAGTTAACAGGTATTTAATAACTTTTTTTGTAATAATTTTAGTGCTAAAAAATTCTAATGTTAGTCACAAATAATAATAATTGGAAGAAATATTAAATAAAAAAATTAAAGTTAACTTAACCAAAAATTTAATGATAGTGAAGTTAGCTGTCAGCTGTCAATTTTTTCAATTTTAACAATAAAAAAATACTTTTAAAAATTCTTTTTAATTATCACGTGGAATTTTTCCATTAAATATTTTTTTTTATAATTATTTAATTTTTATAAAGTAATAAAAAAAATTTCTAGTGTGTCAACAAGTGTAGTGATTCGAGTAACTAATTAAATAATTAAAAAAAAAATAACTATGGAATATTTACGTCATTATGTCTAATTAAAAAATTTTAATAACAAATCAATTACAATAAAAAAGTACTTTAAAAATTTTTTGTTAATTGTCATGAAAATTAATGTAGCACATATTAAATAATTTTAAAAATTTTGTAACAAATAAATTATAGCAAAAAAAAAAATAAGAAAAAAAATTGACATAGGTATAGAAATTAAAAAAAAAAATAAAAAATGCAATTTTTTAAAAATATTTTTTTTTAAATAAATCTTTTTGTTAAATAAAATTAAAAAATTGTCAAGTGACAGCTAACTTTAATGTCATTAATTGTCACGTGTGAAATTTTTTTCTTGAATTATTTTTTTATAATAATTTTATTGTTATAAAATTATAAAAAAATTTCTAGTGTCTCAATAAGTATAATAATCCAAGTAAGTAATTAAACAATTAAAAAAAAGTAACAATTGAATATTTATTTCTAATTTTCTTTATTTCTATTAAATTGTCACTCAAATTTTTGTAATTCGTTTACATGATTTATAGCTTTAAATTTTCCCTTTATTATACTGTTATAAAGTAATCTGTCTTATTGTATCATGAATCCTCAAAGGAATTAACAAAGTAATACATGTATATCATTTTTAATGGAATGTTTCGTATGGATTATAGTATAATTTTTTTTTTTGTCACATAAAAAAAGTAAACTTTATCAAGCTTCAATCTAGGCCACTAAATCTATTAAAATTTTTTACGAGCATAACTTTTTGATACAAATGTTTAATTATTTATTTATTCAATAAATAAATTATTTAAATATTTCAATAGTCGCAAAATAAAAATATCCGCTTATTAAACAATTAAAGAGCGTTATAATATTATTGACGATTCAAAATGAAATTTCATTCTATTGACATTAAACGAATTTTTTTTTTTTTTTTTTTTTTTTTTTAATAAAATGGAATTACTGCATTTTATTGAACGCTTATTTTTTTCTTTATAATTGATCAAATTTCATTGGAATTTTTTTTTTTTTTTAACATGTAATTTAATATCATGAATAATTTATTGCAAAATGCGTCATAATTTGGATAAAAATTATTAATGAAATTAAAATTAGCCATGAAAATTTATTATTTTTTTTTTATTAGTTGAATAAAAAATAAAAAAGTATTTTTAAAAAATTGCACTTATAGTTTTTTAAATTTTTTACATGTGCAATTTTTTTTTTTTTTTTTTATTTTGTAACCATTTTTTCAATAAAAAGAGATTCTAAAAATTTTTAAATGTCGGCTAACTTAATTTTCATGATATTAAATTATTTTTAGAATTTTTTTTAACAAATAAAAATATTTAAAAAATTGACATGTAGAAATTTTAAAAAATTAAAAACGCAATTTTTTAAAAATAATTTTTTAGAAAAAATTTTTTTGTTAAAAAAAATTAAAAAATTCTCTAGTGACTGCTAACTTTAATGTCATCATTTATTTAGTAATTTATTTTATTATTATTAATTGTCTCGTAGGCATTATAAATTGTTTACCAATTTATTTTACTCCAGTGAATAATTCTTAAATTTTTTCAATGTCAAGCCACTTCTATAAATAAATTGTAAAAAAAATTTAACAATAATTATAATGACAAAAAAATTAATTTTAAATAAACAGATAATTAATTAAAAATTTAAATGCACAAAATTAATTATTAAAGTGTAAAGCTATTAATTTATTTAAACAAGTATTGAATTCACTAACTAATATAATTAATTATTAATTAATAATTAATTATAACGATCCTAAACTCTCATCAAGGCTCCAGGCCTTATTTCGGTGAGCTGTAACATTCTTTTTCATATTTTATCTTCTAAATTCATGCAATTATTTAACTTTATTATTACTATTATTTTATATAATTTAGTCCATCAAATCTAATTGCAATTAATCACTTAGTCTAATTTATTTTCTATTAAATACTGAGAGTTTATTATCCGTTCCTACATACGCTGTTTTAATTCTCTTCATATATTTTATATTTTTATTATCAAGCGCTTGGTGAAAATATTAAGTAAAAAAAATTATACTAACTATAATTTATATAATAAAGCCTCAATTTTATTTTTTTTTAAATTTTCTATCGCCAAATTATTTTAATTTTGTATATTCAATTATTGATACCGCAAAATTTATATTTTCTATATTTATATTATTATATAAATAAATTATAGGTGTTTAAATATTTATTTTAAAAATTTCTATATTATTTATTAATTCATTCTTTCCAATTTTTTTTTTTTGTAAATTCATTCAGATATTTTTTGTGTTTTATAATTAATTTTAATTTTTTTTTTTTAATTTCATGATCATACTTTTCAATTGCTCATTGAAATTACAAAAAAATTAATTGAAAACAAAAAAAGAAATTTTTTTAATAAATTTTAACCAATAAATTCGTAGTGATTGATTTTAAATCGATTGTAAAGAGAAAAAATGCGTCCAGCGCTTTTTTTTTCTTACATCATTTTTTAGTCGCAATAACACACGTTTTATTTTTAAGTATATTTTTATCTATATGTCAACGCAATTGAGCAGGCATATCAACACATGTTGTATTATTTTTTTACAATTAATCTGAATCAAAATTGCTTATAAATTCATATTGATGTGCTGATTCGACTGTCCAGTTGCGTTGACTACGGTTCATTTGCGCAAAGAATCTTTGCTACTAGCTCGGCTAGTAGAGGCGGTGCTAGATTCACCTGGACCACCAGGGTTGCCCGTATCGCCGTTAATACTTGAGCCTGCTAATGAAGCTGTGGGAGTGACTGGGGCTGATCGCCGTCGGACTTTAGTCAAAGCTTTGTCCAATCGCTGTACAAACGCGTCTACGTCACTGCGTTTCATTCCTAGAGCAGCGGCTGCTGTTAAGTATGGAATTGGATAATTGCTATTGTGTGCTCCCCAACCTGGAAAATAAAAAATCAAATAAATAAAATTTTGCTTTATTAAATAATGACTTTTGTTAAATTACACTGTACTTTCTTAAATATTGACATTTTTTAAAATATAAGCTCATCCTGATGTTCCGCTCATCGAGAGCTTTCATTTGAGTACCCACATGCATTTTTGATATATTTTTCATATATTCATATATATAAATATATGAATTATATGAAAAATTGATGTGGGTACTCAAATGAAAGGTCTCGAATAGTGTAACATCAGGATGAGCTTATATCTTAAAAAATGTCAATGGTTCACAAGATACAAGCTAATTTCTTAATTATATTAAATTGCACTGTACTTTCTTAACTATTGACATTTTTAAAGATATAAGCTCATCCCGATGTTACACTCATCAAGAGCTTTCATTTGAGTACCCACATGCATTTTGATATATTTTTCATATATACACACACATATATATATATAAATATATGAAAAATTGATGTGGGTACTCAAATGAAAGGTCTCGATGAGCGTAAAGTCAGGGTGAGCTTATATTTTTAAAATTGTCAATAGTTCACAAGATACAAGGTAATTTCTTAATTATCTATCTAGAGATAGAGAATTTTAATAAAAAATAAAATAAAGTTTCAAATAATATAATTACAGACCTTCAAATTTATGTGAAACAATATTTTTAACGTCAGTAGTAGTAATGACTCTTGAACCGCTAACATTTCTAAGAAACAGCATCGATCCAAGCATAGTAACTTGTTTATGATCATGCTGATGACTGAGACACTGCAAAGTCATTCCCATGGATATAGGGTTGCCTTTGGTGTCTAATAATCTTTCACCGTGTCTGGCAGCAACTTTACCCAGTTCTTCTTTCAAGTACGCATACATTTCTTTTCGTTGAGCAATCAACTGCTTATATCCCGCCATTCCTAGGCCCAATAGTGTAATCATTACGTCCATTGTAGAACTAGCGTTTGCGCGACCTGGATACATCTTTGAAATTCGGTCGAGAAGATTTTTATCAAATGATCCAATAATCGCGCCTCCAACAGGAACGAGAAAGTTTTTATCGGTGCTCTGAACGAAGGCGTCAACTCGTCCCTTTCTCGAGGCTTCTTGAATTAAGTGCATACATCTAGTACTTTGTAATCTAATTAAAACAACAAATATTTTTTTTTATTTTATCAAAAATATTTAAAAAAACAATTATTTTTCTTTAAAAAATTTATAAAAAATATATTTTTTAAAATATATACCCATAAGCATTGTTGACCAAATGAGGAATATTATACTGCGTGCATAGCGCAGCAATGAGATCAACTGAATCGCAAGAACGTGGAGCGAAGCAGCTGGTAGTAGAAAGAACACAAGCAATACTCTCTCCATAGGCAGCCATCTGTGATTCGAGTCTCTGCAAATCAGTTTTCAATTCATCTCCCACAATCAACATCTCAATAACAATCGGTTCCAGTCCAGCTGTTATTATAGACTTAAAGCTTGACTTTTGATCGATTCTAGGCCAAAGGACGTATTTGGCTCGTGGTCTGTCGAGTTTTAGAGTCAACATGCAGAGTACCAAGCTCATACCTGTTGCCATTGGTGATAAGAAACACCCGGCGATACTTTTAACACCTGAAATAAATTATTTTTTATTTTTTATCTTAGGTCTTATGTATAGTCTTCTATGTACAGTGCTCCCCCTAATATATTTTAGCTCTATCGCAATTTTTTTATCAGTTACTAACAAGAGAAAAAAAGATAATTCGGTTATATCTTAGGAAGGAAGCACTGTATATTGAATTTAATAATCTTACCCATATATCGCATCACTTCTAATACTAATGCATTTGATAATTTATACATTAAACTACTCCCGGCAGCTTTTGGTTGAACTTCTTCAAGATCTCCGGATCTACCGATCCCATGGCCCATGCGAAAATGCCGTCTTGCTACGATACTTGATATTATTCGTGATTCACGCTCACCAACACTGCAATTCAGTGGAAAATTATTGCTGTCCATTTGTGATAGATCCGAAAGAAATGCTTCTATTGTTGCATCGTCCCATCCTTCTTCTGGCCATTTTCGCTGTTGGAATAATTTTTAAAATTAATTTTTTATAAATTACAGTTAAGAAGAAAATTTTTAATTGACAATTTTGAAGAAATTAAATTTTTAATAAATAATTTTTAAGAAAAAGCAATGAATAATGTTGACAAATTAAATTTTTAATAAATCATTTTAAAGAAATACAATTTTTGATAAATAATTTTGAAGAAAAAACAATGAATAATTTTGAAGAAATAAAATTTCTAATAAGTAATTTTAAAGAAATACGATTTTTAATAAATAATTTTGAAAAAAAAAAAAAAAAAAAAAAACAATGAATAATTTTTAAGAAATAAAATTTTTAATAAATAATTTTGAAGAAAAAACAATGAATAATTTTGAAGAAGTAAAATTTTTAATAAATCATTTTAAAGAAAAAACAATGAATAATTTTGAAGAAAAAACAATAAATAGTTTTGAAGAAATAAAATTTTTATTGAATAATTTTGAAGAAATAAAATTTTTAATGATTCATTTTGAAGTAAAAAAAAAATAATTAATTGATACTTACATGTTCAATAAAACTTCTTATAAGATTCTCCCTCGTTTTCTTCGCATTTAATCCTTGTTGTACATAAGTTGATGGTATAAGTTTCTCAGCCAAACTGAACGCTTGATTGTTCATTCTTTAAATTCTTATTTTTTTTTTTTTTAATTACTTAAATTATTTATTGATAACTTGTTGCTTTAATAGACCATTCTTCTTTATTTTGATTTTCAATCTAATAATAATCATTTATTAGATTGTTATTAATAAAATAAACTTAAATTATTTTTTTAAATTACTTACTAATGTGCTTGTGGTATAAATTATAATAAATAAATAAAAAAATAACTCAGTTGCATTGTGAATAATAAATATTTATTGTTAAATTATAAAATAAAGTACATAACAATACTTAAAAAAATAAAGTATAAAAATTAATAAATGTGCGTGATAATAAAATCTTAAAATTAATTAAATAATAAAATAAACAAAAACATAAATTGTGTTGTATTTACTCCAATATTAATTATTTTTAATAGTAATTAAAAATGAAACTTTATAACAGATGTTTGACAAAATTTTTATCAGTCTTAACAATTATATATTGTTAAAACAAACTTCAAAATTACAAAACAATAATTGAATTTAATAAATTAAAAATTTAATTTTTTACTCCAAAAAAATAATATGTTTCATTTTTAATAATTAATTTGTACTGACATAACATTAATTAGCAAAAGCTTAAATATAAAATTGGGCACGGCTTTATTTATAAAATTTCAAAAACTTTAAAATAAAATTAATTCTTTACCAAAAATTAAAAACAAACATAAAATACCAGTATTTATAATTATAATTATAAATTAAAGGGTTTAATAACTCCAAAAATTTTAATTATATTTCCACAAATAATTTCTGTCATAAAAATCCGATAATTTATAAAAAAAAAAAAAAAATAAATAAATAAATAAATAAATAATTCTTTTTTTTTTGTCACTCATTAGATTGAATTGGACATAATACCTTGTCGCACTGTCTTTAGGTTATGTGATACCCGAGGTCACCTAATGAGATTAATTTTACGCAATATACAGAAGCGCGGATGAACGTAATTGCTTAAACACTGTTGAGGGGCGTCGGGAAAAACAAACAGTTCGTAAAATAAAATATAAAAAAAGCCCGTAGCTTCCGCAATAGATTAAAAGTTAACGCTATTATTTTATTTATACAGTATTATTACTAACGTGTTGTATTATTGTGTTGTTCTCTCTTGCGCTCTTGTCTCTCACATACATAGAATAAAAATTCGATCTATCATATATACCACTAGGTTGTTTTTATTATTTTTAACTCACTACACTAGCTCTTTCTTTTGTTATTATTTATTTTCTTTTATTTAATAAATTGACTAATCTCGATTTAATATAAATAATAAATACAAATACGTGGAAACTCTAAAATGAAAGGATCGACGTTTGTTATTCGTGGTATAACGAAATTTCGCGTATTACCTTGGTGCTCATACGTTCCAGAGGCCAAGAACAACCATCAACGCCGAACAACACAATATACGGCGCCACGGACTTACTCCTCGGTCGCTGTCATCGATGAAAAATCCGAGCACACGCCAACAGCCAATTCCAAACGTCCTTATATTCGTCCCTCATTAATCCGACAGGTGCTCATTCCTATTTATATATATATATATATAATATAATATTCAATTTTTAGCATGATTTAAGAGTGTAAAAAATTTAATTAAGGGTTAACATTTTTTCTTACCTTGAAATTTCCATTGATTTTTTATAAAAGTGTCAATTTAGCTGACAGCTGATTTTTTTTAAATTAAGTTCAAGTTTTATTTTGAACTTTATTACAGAAAAAAAACTCTGGAAAAATTTACAAGTTTAATTTTATTAAATTTTTAACTTCATTTTTTTATATAATTATTTTTTTAATTGATAAATTATTTATATATCAATATATATTTAAAAAATGGCGGACACCGGCTACAAGCATATTTAAAATTTTTTAAATTTGATGAAAATTAATTGAGCAGATATTTTATAATTTTAAGAATTTTTTTAAAAAACAAATTATATTAAAAAAAAAAAAAAAAAAAAAAAATGAGAAAAAAAAATTGACATTTAGAAAATTAAAAAAACAAAAAAATCCAATTTTTAGAAATAATTTTTCGGAGCAAATATATATATATTAAAAAAAAAATTAAAAAATTGTCAAGCGACTGCTAACTTTAATGTCATTAAATTTGACATTTTTATCATGAAAATTAATTCACCAGATATTTTATAATTGTAAGATTTTTTTTAACAAATAAATTATGTCAAAGAAAATTAGAAGAAAAATTGATATTTAGAAAATTAAAAAAATAAAAAATGCAATTTTTTTTAAATAATTTTTTGGAGCGAATTTATTTATTAAGAAAAAATTAAAAAGTGGCCAAGCGACAAAAAAAAAAAAAAAAAAAAATGAGAAAAAAAATTGACATTTAGAAAATTAAAAAAACAAAAAATCCAATTTTTTAGAAATAATTTTTCGGAGCAAATATATATATATTAAAAAAAAAATTAAAAAATTGTCAAGCGACTGCTAACTTTAATGTCATTAAATTTGACATTTTTATCATGAAAATTAATTCACCAGATATTTTATAATTGTAAGATTTTTTTTAACAAATAAATTATGTCAAAGAAAATTAGAAGAAAAATTGATATTTAGAAAATTAAAAAAATAAAAAATGCAATTTTTTTTAAATAATTTTTTGGAGCGAATTTATTTATTAAGAAAAAATTAAAAAGTGGCCAAGCGACTGCTAACTTTAATTTCATATTTAATAAATATTCAATACTTTACTTGTCATTATAATTTATATTTTTTAATTACAATTTTCATATGACTAATCAACTTGTTTTTCCTGTCACTTCATTATTACGTTAAAATTTTAGGTATTAAATCTAGATTATAAACACAAAACTGCGCGTGTATTTAAAATATTTAATCCTCGAATTGAACTTATCTGACCTCTGGTGTTTGGAAATTAAAAATCATTTTAAAAAATACACTTTATTGTCAACAAATAAATTTTTACGATAAATAAACAATAAAGTGGCTTAAAAAAGACAGTAAAAAAATAATCCAGTGTTTTTGTAAAGTGAAAAGTTTTTAAGTTATTCATTTTAAAGTGTCTTGTAATTTTTTTAAGTACTAATTACACATTTTTTTATCTATATCATAGCAGATAGTTTATATTTTTATACAAAGAATGTAAAAGTGACTGCCAAAAATTTTTAATTACATCAACTATCCAAGAAGACAAATTATTTAGATATTAATAAATTTATTATTAATTTTATATTAGTGTTGAATTATTATTCCCGGTCCGTACTTACACAATTTATAAAATTAATTTTATATGTATAAATTTAAATTATAATTAAAAATGATTTGTAGACTAGCATAATTAATTTCAAATTATTTTTATAATAATTTTAATTAAGAAATTTTACATTACTTTTATTTAATTGTAGTTTTTTCTTAAATATTATTTAATACATTATAAAATAATATTAAAAAAAAAAAAAAAGCTTTAAGATTAAGTATTAGTCTGATGAAAAAGAAGAAATAGGCCAATGACCTAACAAAAATAATTTTTCACTCTAAATTATGTCCAAATTTAAATTTGTCGATTGTTGCTCAATCATTAATGAGTTAATCATGAGATTTTTTTTAACTGTGGCCAAGTACCTTTTAAATTCTTTCATCGTCTTAATAATTCTTTCAGTAAGTTTAAAATTAATCTTTAATTTTTCACAAAATATAACTGACACAATTTAAACAAGTGATTATGTCATGTAATTAAAAGTAAGTCACTTAAAAAATTATTTTATTTTTAATTCACGAGAAGTTTATTTTAATTAAATAAATAGTAATTTATACTTTAATAATTTTATTATAAAAGAATAATTAATTAAAAATTTATTTTTACAGAATTTCACGTTACTAATGAATTAAAAAAGCAATTACGTAAGTACATTCTGATCTCTGTACACGTAAGTTTAAAATAAGATAATAAATTAAATTTAGATCCAAGATGTTCCCGGTAGAAATTTGGGAAATAATCTTACAAAAAGTTCCTGACCCATCTGCACTGATGGTCCTTCAAGAAGTTTGTTCAACTTGGTACTGGATTATTGAAAAAATAATAAAAAACTTCAATTGGAAGCGAACATGCATGCATGAAATAGGACGCAGCCATGTTCATGATATCATGATAAAAGCATTTCCTTCACACTGTCTTGATGATTATCCAGTAATTATTGATGAAGAAATTTGGAGAGGAACTTTTTATTCTTTTTCTAAATGGATAATGATTTTACAAGCCGAAGCGGTGTTGACAAAAATTCATGTTTCTGAAAAATTTAAAGAAAATGAATTAATAACTTGCACAGCAGCGTCAAGTAAAAAAAAAAAAAAAATTAATTACTTCCTTAAATAAATTAATAACTTTATTTTCTAACAATAATATTTCTTCTTTAATTTTTTTTTTCAGGTGATAATGTTGCAATTGGGACTGATTTAGGGTTTATATATTTTTATAATATATTTAATGTAAATGAACCAGCTTTTATAGCAACCCACGGTGAACCTATTGATCAAATTGAATTTTGGTATAATGGTACTAATTAATTTTATCAATTAATATTTGTTGGAGATATTTTTTTACAACTTGAAATTTTTTATTGATTTTTTAGACCAAGAAATACTAGTTGTTTCAAGATCTAAAAATAATTCAGTTAAATTTTGGAACGTGACTGCTAAAAAACAATTAAAGTCTTCTATTTCTTCTGCTCAATCTATTTGGTATAATTTATTTAAATTAATCTATTAAATTTGAAATAAAAAAAAATTAATTGATTTTATTTTCAGCGCTGGATCAATGAATAATTGTTATTCACAAAATGAAGAAATAATTTATGAACATTCATGCACAATGGGTATAATTATCTCCAAAAAACATTTACAATTTGATTTAGGAGATGCAACTGCTATCGGAATTTATTTACGAAATGCACGGGTAAATTTTAAATAATAATTATTAAATTTTAAATATTTTATATTAAGGATATATTTATAAAATTAATATTTTTTCAGCCTTTATTACTATCTTATAAAAACAACAGTGAATTAAAATTGTTTCTCAGACAAGATATGGCTTATGGATTGTCAAGTAAATCCGAGAGAGTATTAAAATCAAACATAATTCCAGATGATTCATCCTTATCTCTCAGAATTAAATTTTATGTAACATATTACAACGCGATTATTTTTATTATCGGTAAATAACCTTTTTTATTACTTATCACAATAAATTTTATTGGAGTAATAATAATTTTATAAATATATTTTAGGAAGATATTTGTTCATTAGTTTTTCTTATGACTACAATATATACGATATATTTTCATACCTTGGAGGGTGTATCACATCTGTCATTACTCATGGACATATTTTATTTTTTGGTTTAGATTCAGGTTTTTATTTGATTTAATTCTATTGTTTAAAATTATTTAAAGTTGATAATTATTTTAATTAAATTTTTTTTAGGAGTTATTCATATAATTTACGCTCCTACTGCTGATTGTTTGCTGCATCTTAATTTTGATAATGTCAAATCAAAAAGTATTAGAATTTCTAATGACGAACCTATTGTTTCCATGAACATTGCTGAGGCTGAAAAAGATCCGTATATTTTCGTAGCAACAAAAACAAAAAATTATATTGTTAATTTTATTTAATTAATAATTTTTTTTTTTTATTATAAACAATTAGTAAGAGGTTATTGTTATCATTATTGTATATAAACAATTAATATTTTTAAAATAAAGAATTATTGAATAAAAATTTTTAATAATTTTATAAAAATTAAATTATTATTAAAATAATTTAATAAAACATTCTACATGTGAAAATTGTAATTAATTTATTATAAAAATTAAAAAAAAAAAAAAAAAAAAGTCACTGCTGTCAGCTGACTTCAATATAATAAAAATTTTCAGCGGTAAAATTTAAACCAAAAACATTTTGACATTTTTCATAGGTGGCGCAGTTGTCGTGGCAAACAGCCGAGTCACTTTTTCGCGTTTCCAATTGTTCCGATGACAATTGACAATTCTCAATTCAGTTTTTATTTTTATTTCGCACACTCACATTCTTTATATCGCTGAACTGTATTATAACAGTTTATGATAACAAATCGAATAAGCGGCTAAGTCATCGGTCTTTAAAGATTTTATATTTATTTTCTGCTTATAACAACATAGGTATGGATCAATTATTTTTATTTTATTTTTTTTACAAGATTAAAATGAAATTTTATAAAAAAAAAATAAATGAATAAATGTTCGCTGTTTTTTTTTTATAGCTAAATATGGTTAAGTGAAATTAATCATGGTAGTGTTTATTTGTTTATTATTTATTTATTATTTTAATCAACTATAGCAGGAGCAGAAAATTGAAAAACTGTCAATAATGTTTTATTTTTTTTTTTCTTCCAGTTAATTATGGATCTGGAGAATTGCAACTCACGAGACGATGACGGTTCTTCGCATCATGAAGATCCTAGTGGACATAAAAAGTGGTACCGACAAGCCAGTCAAAGGTTTGTTTAAAAATTTTATATAGAAATTAATTCAGCAGGTATTTGATAATTTTTTAAAAAAATAAATTATGGCAAAAAAAATTAACATATACAAATTTTAATAAATTAAATATGTAATTTTTTTAAAACAATTTTTTTCAATATATTTTTTTGTTGACTTCTAACTTTAATGTCATAAATTTTATCCACTCTTTCTGGATAAAATTATCATGACATTAAAATTAGCAAACATATTTAAAAAAAATTTAACTAAGAGTTTTTTTTTTTTAATTTGTTTTGTTTGTTTGTTAAAAAAAACTCTAAATAATTATCAAATGCCTGTTAATTTTGCTGTCCTAAATATTAATGACACAAAAGAATAACTATTTTACAAATAAATATATTATTCACAAAGAAATTTTAAAAAACAAGTGACTAAATTATTTTGCTCCATTCTTATGGTAACAATTTTTGTTTCATCGCTAAAAAATTTAAATTTATGTCACTGACGAAATATTTATCGTAAAATATACTAACATTTTATCAAAACAATATATTACAATATGAAAGCAATTATTTATATAAAATTCTAAACAATAAATAAGTATATTAAATCATTAAAAAAAAAAAAATAAATGTCAACTTGACCTTAGATGAACAAAAGATTACTGCAACAATTTCTGGATTGTTTTTTTTTCCTTTTTCCTTCAAAGATAGATTGATAAATCTAAAAATATTTACGAGAACTGACAACATCACTCCGATTGTTTTACAAATACTTATTATCGTATTTATTTTTATTCAACATTGTTTTCTGTTTTTCTTAAATTGTTATTGCGACACTACGCACGAGTTGTTAAAGTATCATGCATAACAGTTAGTGCATCAACATTTTGATAATATATTTTAATTTGTTTTAGTTATCATGTAAAAAAAAATCTAATTTTTTTTATTTATGCTTTTTCTTTATGCTATTCTTTAAAAAAAAAAAAAAAAAAATTTTAATTACTTACTTAATAATTAAGTAAATTATAATTTTTATTTTTTTTGCTATTTATTTATTTATTTATTTATTACAGTCCCAACAGCCTATTGGTGCAATGATATAAATTTATAGTAAATATTTTACATTACATGTTGATTATAATTATAATTGTGCTAAATTATTACACATGAAGACTTAAAGGTTTAGTTTTAAAAATTATTAATTTTTAAAACTAAAAATTTAGGCTTAGTTATTAGTTTAAAAAAAAATAATGAAAGAAGAAATTAAGAAGGAATCCTGATTAAAAAAAATAAATTTACTCCAAAAAAATATTTAATTTAATCTGAAAAAAAAAAAAAAATAAAATTAAAAAGCCATTAGATTATTCTATTAAAACTTACAAAAATTTTAATTATGAGGTCAGTAACAGTACGAAGACTTTCATTTGGAAAACATACTTTGTTCCACTTAATGTTAAATTAGCATCAGGCCACGTATAAAAATATTTTTTAATGATAAAATAAATGCGTGTGATGACCTTTTAGTGATTGCGTCTTATCTGTCTGTTTGGTTTGGTTTGCTGTATTGATACACACTTTTATATGAAAGATGTATGTATTTATTTATTCTTAGTATCACCAAGAAAAATATCATTCCAGTGGCGACGCGCCAATAACACGGTCGACATTATATTTTTACAAACAATATTTTAATTATTTAACTTAATTGATCTTGAGAAAACTATTTTTCAACTTTTTCCAGTGTGTAAACATTTATTGTTGGTGTTCAATAATAAATATATTAATAAGTGACATAACTACTTGAAGAGTCAAAATTTAAATAGGTTTATTGTATTTAAATTAATTTATAATTCCGGTCTCTTGTTAAGTTGTTCGAGAATAGAATTTATTAATATCTAAATTAAAGTACTGAGTAATGGAGAACATGAGTAGCGGTATAGAACAAAAGTACGGACCCAGTGTTCTTGACAATGTACATGCCAGTGATGAACGTTTTAATAAAAATGACAGAGACGAACAAGACTTTGTTAGTTGGGGTGATGGGGCCCGTAATCCTTATAAGCGAGAACTTGGTCACAGGTAATAAAATTTTAATAATTGTTCTAAAATTTTTTAATATAATTAATTCATTTTTAATGCTATGATTTTACTTTTTAATGTTTTAGATTTAATTTTTTTATTTTTCTGAAATTTACTTGAAAAAATAATTTATTTTTAAATTTTTACTTATATTTAGTGGAAGATTTTTTATAACTATTATAAAAATTTTTTTAATAGTAAAAATTTAAAGTAAAAATTGAAAAAAAATAAATTTTTTTTAAGTTAATTTCAAGAAAAATAAAAAAATTAATCTAAAACATTAAAAAATAAAATCTTTTTTTTTTTTTCAATTTTTACTTTAAATTTAGAGGAAGATTTTTTTTACTATTAAAAAAATTTTTTTAATATTTAAAATTTAATGTTAAAATTGGAAAAAAAATTTAAAGCGTTAAACTCTTGAAGAAAATCAATTTCTATCAATGCCAAGAGCTTAAGATGAATTTAAAATTTTTTAAAAACTGCTCAAGGTTAAAAACATGGAAGAAGGAAATGATATTTCTCCAGATGTTTTTATTATTTTGGCGTAAATCCAACATAAAAATCTCTAACGATTGCACACGATTCTTTGATATTTTTAAAAAATATGTAATTTTTTACTAAATATTAATTATACCTTGAATTTATAGTCTTAGATTTCCCATCAATATATTGAAGACAAAATGTAACTTATATTTACCTTCTTTAATTAAATCGGTCATCTATGCATTAATTCAATATATCACAGAAGCATTTAAATGTCAATTACGTCCGTAATTAAATGAATGCTAATATCGATCTTACGTTTATAATTAAAATAAAATCCGTCGCTTAATTTTCCGAGTTTTTATAAACTAATAAACAAAGTATAAATATAAAATATAATTAAACATTAAGTGCGATACTTATCACGTGGGTAAATTCTCTTGACCTTACACGACTTAATTGGTTTTCACAAGAATTTCGTGTGTCTATCATTAAACTTAATATACTTCGAAACCAGAAATATCTTACAAGGTTGATGGTAGAAAAGGCTTAGAATTATTGCCAATTCGAGAATTAATACTTAAGATTTATATTTAATTTATAAGAATTTTCTTTTTTTTTATTAAACATTTTTTTTAGCTTAGACACAGACAGATTTATATATGTAATATCTATTCTAGGATTTTACATTAATAAATTTGAGTAAAAATTAAATATTTAAAAATTCTTACTCAAAAAATAAATTATTTATAAATTTTTATTCAAAACTTTTGCTACAAAAACTATTTAATAATTTTTTACATAAAAAATTTCTGTAAATTTTTACTTAAAAAATTTTTAAGTCAATTTTTACTAAAAAAAACATTTTTTATAAATATTTATTCAAAACTTTTGTTAAAAAAAATTTTTTCACAATTTTTTCCATAAAAAATTTCTTTAAATTTTTGCATTAAAAAATTTTTAAAAATTTTGTATTTAAAACTTTTGTTAAAAAAAATTTCTGTTAATTTTTATGCAATTTTTTTACTGAAAAAAAGATTTTTTTATAAATTTTTATTACAAGAATTATTAGATATTTTTTATTGAATTAAAAAATAACTTAACAAACAAAATTTACGTGACAAGTTATAAACATAAAAAAATTAATTGCCAATAATTAATTAAATCTAATGTAATACTTAAGCGATAATAATGATAAACAAAAAGAAAACCGGATAAAATTCTTCTATATTAATATTAATGTTTGTCTTTAATGACTCATTAAAATTTTTCTACATAATTCAATGAGTAAATAATCGAAAGATTTATCAGCAATGTCTTATATTAATAAAATGAATTTTCAACATTAAGACAGCACTAGAAACTCGTTCTCCCTCTCATAAAATTGATGATGATTTCCTGCGATTCGTTGCAAGTATAACTCATCGACTCCCCACGTCTAGGATAACTTTCATTACATTTATTGAGACCAGTCGTACGCGCGAAGCAATTCATATCAGTAGAGACTAGAACTGGTGCTAGTAAACTTCATTTTACATTCTACTTATTTTATTTTATTTTATTTATTGATATAATTCATTTTATTAACTCACATGTTGATAGGCTTATCTCCTTTCAATAATTATTTCATCACGTAATTTTATGTATGAGTAAAATAAGTATTTATTGTAACGATTCAAGATAATTCTTATCTGTTAAATCAATAAATTATTTAATTTTTTACGGTAACATTAAAAAAAATTTTACATTAATTATCAAGGTGCTAAATATGGTATCTAAACGTTCTGTTCCTAATGAGTAAGTTTTTTTATTTTTTTATTGTTTCGCAAAAATTAATTACTCATTTTTAAATAAATTGTAATTTAAAACAAATTTATTTTTTTCAAATAATTAAAAAAAAAATTATTTTAAACTTTATTAAATTTTTTAATTATTATTATTATTATTATTATTATTATTATTATTATTATTAAATTAATAAATTATTAAATAATTTGGTGTAATTTTTTTGTTAAAAAATTTTTATTTTATTTATAAAAATATTATTTTAGGCATTAAAAAAATTTCTTCCCAAATAATAATCAAATAATCGGTTTATTAAAGTTCCGGTTAGACTGAATTTATGAATTGATTATCTAAAATAGAGATAATATCTGTGTATCATAAATAATTCATACTTAGACATAAATTTATTACTAAATTGAAGCTATAAATATATTGTAATAAAATATATTTTAATTTATTCACTATCATTAATCAATTTAATAATTTATTTATTTTTTTTCAGAATTTTTGTCAACAGAAGTCTCCATTTGGAGAACATTAAATTCTATGGATTTGATATGGACTATACTCTAGCGGAATACAAATCACCTCAGTACGAGCAATTGGGTTTTGATTTACTCAAAGAACGCCTAATTTCCCTGGGCTACCCGCAAGAGATACGTGCTTTTGAATATGATCCGAGTTTTCCAGTTCGAGGATTATGGTTTGATACACTCTATGGTAATCTTCTTAAAGTTGATGCTTATGGAAATATTCTTGTTTGCGTTCATGGTTTTGAATTTTTAAAGCAGTAAGTAATTTATTTAATAATAAATTAGTTTTTAATTTTTACTAATTAAATAATATTTAAAAATATTTTTTTCAGCTCTCAAGTATACGAATTGTATCCTAATAAATTTCTTCAGTTAGATGAATCACGTGTTTACGTGTTGAACACATTATTCAATTTACCAGAAACCTACTTGCTAGCATGTCTCATAGATTTTTTTACCAATTCACCCCAATTCTCGCGTGAGAAAACGGGTGTAAAAGAGGGTGAGCTTACAATGAGTTTCAAGAGTATTTTTCAAGATGTAAGAAATGCAGTTGACTGGATACATATCCAAGGAGATCTAAAATCAAAAACTATTGAAAATCTCGATGAATATGTCAAAAAGGACGAAAGATTACCAATGTTTTTAACTAGGATACGCGAAAGTGGCGCTAAAGTTTTTCTTCTAACAAACAGCGACTATAATTTTACTAATAAAATTATGACTTATTTATTTGATTTTCCACATGGCGCAAGGGTATGTCATAAATCAGAATTATTATTATAATTTATAGCAAAACGTGTGACAATTATTTTTTTTTTCTTTTTTAATATACAAAGTCTAGAAAATCACTTTTAAAAAATTGCAGTTATAATTTTTTAGAGTTTCTAAAGATTCAATTTTTTAAATGATTTTTTTTTTTTGTATAACTTAATTTAATTTATTTATTAAAAAAATTGTCAGATGTCTCTAAATTTTAGTATCATAATATTCATAATACTATAATTAGCCGAGGTTTCTAATTAAAAAAAATTTTTTCTTATCTATTAAACTAGAACTTAAAAAATATTAAAAAAAAATTACAATTATAGTTTTTCAAGTTTTTTATCAATAGAAAATTTTTTAAAATAATTTTTTTAATCAAAAATTTATAAATTACTAATAATAATAATTAAATTACATTACAGCCCCATGAACCTCACAGAGATTGGAAAACTTATTTCGATACTATAGTAGTTGACGCTAACAAGCCATTATTTTTCGGTGAAGGCACTATTTTACGACAAGTCAATACAAAAACCGGCGCGTTAAAGTTAGGAACTCACAAAGGACCACTTCACACAGGTAATTACCATTTCTAATGGTATATATTCCAACATAATAAATCATCCCAGCACAAGAACTATATTTACTCAACAAGGTTTTATCTAATCCATAATTCATAAAATAATTCTGTCGTTTTTTATTTATAGGTGAAGTCTATTCAGGTGGATCATGCGATGTTTTTACTGAAATGATCGGAGCTAAGGGAAAAGACGTTCTCTACATCGGAGATCACATTTTCGGTGATATTTTAAAGAGTAAAAAAATCCGCGGTTGGAGAACTTTTCTCATTGTCCCAGAATTGGTTCAAGAATTACACGTCTGGACTGATAAATGTCAATTATTCGCAGAATTACAAAATCTTGATGTTATGCTCGGAGAAATGTACAAGTATGTTAATGTTATTAATTAATATTTTTTAAATTAAATTATCATTGTTATTTATTATTTAATTCATTTTTCAATAATAATCATTGATTATAATTTATTTTTTCGTTTTATATTATCGTAGAAATTTAGACAGTAGTACTAATGAAAAGCCTGATATTTCGAAACTACGGGCTTCTATTAGAGATGTTACGCACAAAATGGATTTGGCTTATGGTATGATGGGCTCATTGTTCAGAAGTGGAAGTAGACAAACATTTTTCAGCAGTCAAGTTGTCAGATATGCTGATCTTTACGCAGCGACCTTTCTTAATCTTATCTATTATCCGTTCTCATACATGTTTCGTGCGCCGGCAATGCTAGTAAGTTTATTAATAAAATAATTTTTTTTTTTTATAAAGATCACTTTAATCTCTTTGTACTTGAATTATGAATTAATATTTTAAATTAGATGCCACATGAAAGCACAGTCGCTCACGAGCAACGCTTTGTTATGGAAACTCCAATGATCAGTAGATCACGGACGTTCAAACTCAACGATGAAGATGAGGAACAAAACGCTATTATGGCTGTAAATATTATTTATTTTATTAATTTCCCAAAAATATATATATATATTAGGGTGGCGCAAAAAAACCGACTATTTTTTTTTTTGAGTCTCGAGTGAAAAAATGTTAGTTTTTGATGTTTTAAGAGCCCTCACCAAAGGACAGCTCAAAAAAAATTTTTAAGTCAAAAATTGAATTTTTTTTAATTTTTTAATTTTTTTCTCGTTACGGTATAATTTTATAGACCAAAAAAAAATAAGTTTCTGAAAGTTTCAGTTCAAAATTTAAATTTTGAAAGGTCGCTCATAATTTTTTTTAATTTATTAGTGCATTAGTTTAGATTTTTTCGAGCGACCTTTTACTATTCAAATTAAAATTCCACGCATTTTTTTTTTTTTATTTAGTACAATAATCGATAAAAATACATCACGAGATGAACTAAAAATCAAGCACAACATAGAAAATATAATGTTTTTTTAATTTAATAATTTTATTGAATCAACTGCCAGGCGAGAGTTCGAATCCCAAGCTGGTCTTAGAAACCAGCTTGGGATTCGACCTTGCCGGTTGAGATTTGAAAAAAAAAAAAAAAATAGTCGGGTTTTTTTGCGCCACCCTAATATATATATAGTTGTAGATATAATTACAAATAATCTCTATAGAGACAAATGGTTGTTTGTACATAGGTAGGAAAAAAAAGAAAAAAATTTTGCTTTTTTAAATAATGGCTTTTGTTAAATTGCACTGTGTTTTTTTTACTATTGACCCACATGCATTTTTGATATATTTTTTATATATACATATATATATAATATATATAAATATATAAAATATATGAAAAATTGATGTAGGTACTCAAATGAAAGGTCTCGATGAGTGTAATGTCGGGATAAGCTTATAACTTAAAAAATTTCAATAGTTCACAAGATACAGAGTAATTTTTTAATAATGTTAAATTGCACTGTACTTTCTTAATTAATGACATTTTTAAAGATATAAGCTCATCCCGATGTTGCACTCATCAAGAGCTTTCATTTGAGTATCTACATGCATTTTTTTATATATTTTTCATATATATATAAAATATATGAAAAATTGATGTAGGTACTCGAATGAAAGGTCTCGATGAGTGTAATGTCGAGATGAGCTTATATCTTGAAAAATGTTAATAGTTCACAAGATATTTGTTAAATTGCACTGTACCTTCTTAACTATTAATGTTTTTAAAGATATAAGCTCATCGTGGTACTACATTCATCAAGAGCTTTCATTTGAGTACCCACATGCATTTCGATATATTTTTCATATATAATATATATAAATATATGAAAAATTGATGTGGGTACTCAAATGAAAGCTCTCGATGAGTGTAACATCGGGATGAGCTTATATCTTTAAAAATGTCAATAGTTCACAAGTTACAAGGTCATTTTAATTTATTAATTTTTGGCTAATTAATATTTTATCAAATTTATTATTTTTTTTCAGAAGTCTTTTGAAACAGAAATCAATCCGATTCCGCATGCGAGACCAGAAACACCTCGCAATGTCACTCACACACACGATGAAGATTGTAGTGACGAGGACAGTGACTCTCAAAAACAAAATCCATCAAGATCATCAAAAAAAATTGATAGTAATTCATAAAAAAAACTAAAGTTACGAACTATACATCGTTTTTGAAGTATCTACTTGTTTGAGCTGTAGAATTCTCGGACAAACTTTTGTAGAGGCACAATCAGAGACTGAAGTAGCTAAAACTAAGTTATAGTTAGTTTAAATAATGTTAAATTGATTACTTTATCAATTTTTGAAACTAATAATCCGCGTTTTTATTATCTAACTTTTCTTTTATTATTATTAACTGACTATTTTATTAACACTGGTTATTAAACACTGTAAATATCTTGTTGTTAACTATCATCATTTTAAATACAACGAACTTTATAGTTTTTACTAGCAGAAAAAATGTTGAGATTTAAGAGGTGCCTAATAATTAATTATAATCAAGGTATTTATTAATTATTTCAGTCAAATTTATTGTTAAAATTATTCTTTTTCTAATTTTTAACATTTGAAGACAATACTTATAATGTTGGTCAACTACCCGTAACAATTAATTAATTAATTAATTAATTAAAGATTAAATTTTTTTTTTTTTTTTTTTTTTTTTTTTTTTTCAATTCAAATATCATATTTATCTTATACATTTTAATTTATGAATAAAATATATTATTGTTCAATAATTGTAATTAAGCTTGCCGTTTTTGGTGCAAAATGCTCATATTTTGAAGTTTAAAATTATACTTTAGTTTTAATTATAAAAATTGTTGAAAAATTTTCATACAAATAGAAGATAAAATTGTGAATTTTTATGTATACACATAGTTAGTTTAAATAGATAAATAAAATACTTTAAACTTAATCTTAAATAAATTTATAGCGTTAAATAAAATTAAGATTCAAAATTTTTTCAAGTAATCAGTTAAAAAATTGTTTGCAATATAGTTTTGAAGAATAAAATATTTCAAGTAAATAAAAATGTCTTTTAATTATATTTATTCAAAAACTATAAGAATAATAATTAATTATATTATTTACAACAAAAGATCTGCGAGATACTCTTCAAATTCTTCTTCGCGTGACTTTTCAATACTTTCCGAAGGATTATTCTTCCAAATTTCCTCCTCTTTTTTTCCTGAATCTTCTTTACTCTCTTCATCTGGTTCTACTTTTATGATTGTATCTTGATCTTGATTGTTTGTTGAACTTGAAGCTGTAGATTGAGTCTCTAATTTATCCGACGTCGTACCCAAACGTTTCAATCCTTTTTTCTTCCTATGAACTTGTTTCTTTTGAGAGTGATAATTTAATTTATCTGAACATTCAGAACATAGTCCTAAAAATACAAAAAAAAAATTTTTAATTTTTTAAAATAATATCAGAAGACGAAATAAATAAAAAAAAATTGATAGATAAATTTTAATAACATACTTAATTTAACTAAAGCATTTTTTTTCTCTCCTTGCTCTTCATAGCCAAAATTAACTTCCCATGACTTTAGTCCTTCCTTTATTTTACATTTTTTACTCCCGCATTCAAATTGACCTTTTCCTACAACTACTTCTTGCTCTGTTCTCCATCTTAATGCCACCTAGATAAAATTAAATGTTATTTTAAGTATTATTGCAACTATAATTATTTAATAAATATTTTTATGAAAGAAATAAACACAAAAATAAAAATAGAAAATTTTACTTAAAGAAAAAAAATTGTTTAATTTAAAAGAATTATTTTTAAAAAATTTCATTTTAATTTATTAAAATTTCTTCATGTTAATTTTTAGTTTCTGATTTTTTATTTGTTAAAAAAATACTAAAAATTATTTAAAATCTACTAAATTAAATTTAATAACAAACCTTGTTATATTTATAGTAAGTCAAGTCACAAATACAATATTCCTTGAATAATTTATCGTAATATTTTTTGGCAAGCCGAGCTTCCCAAGTGTCAGGAGTATCCTCTTCCTCGTCCCAAAGAAATCTGTGATTCTCCTTGATGACATCATAATCAGTTTTGCGCCGGGACCTCGAAAAACGTTCCGAAAGATCAAGAGCTGTTTAAATTAAGGTTATAAACTGTATTTTTATATTTTATTATCACTATTTTTTCCTCTTGGCTAACCAGATAAGCGCGACCAACGTTATGTAATTAATAAATCATAATTATCTACAAATGTAAAAATATGACGTCTTGGTTAACTTACGTGTCTCGTTTAAGATTTAGCGCAGAACCTCCTTTGTAAAAAAAATAATCATTGATTATTTTTTTGTGACGATCGTAAGCTGATAAATGTACGTAAGCAGGAAACATGTTTTTTTTTTAATTTACTTTGTTTTTTAATTAGTTTATTTTAATATTTCTCTACGCTTATTAGTTTTAGTACACAAAAAAAAAAAAATACACAAACAACTCAACAATAATTATTATTGTCGACAGTGCCGCCACGTGGTGATAAAAAATAAAACTATAATTTATCCATCATACTGAAGTTAGCCGTCAGCTGTCAATTTTAAAAATTTTAATAACTAATCAATTACAATAAAAAAATGCTTCTAAAAATTTTCACTTATAATTTTATTGAATTAAAATTAATTTAGAAGATATTTGATAATTTTAATAATATTATTGACAAATAAATTATGGCAAAAAGGTAACGTAGTAATTAAAAAAAATCAAAATTGCAATTTTTAAAAAATAATTTTTTGGAACAAATTTATTTGTTAAATAAAATTGAAAAATTGTCAAGCTACTGCTAATTTTAATGTCATTATAATTTTTATTAATTGTCACATGTGGAATTTTTATAAAAATCAATTTAGTAGATATTTAATGATTTTTTTAACAAATAAATTATGGCAAAAAAATGAGAACAAAAAAATGACATGTAGAAGTTTTAAAAAATTATAAATTCAACTTTTTAAAAATAATTTTTTGGAGCAAATTTATTTATTAAAAAAAATTATCAAGTGACAGCTGACTTTCATGTCATAAATTTTTTTTTATAATAATTTAATTATTATAAAATTCTAAAAAACTTTTTATGTTTGTCTTAAGTGTCATTATTTATTTTCAAATTGTCATTTTCATATTAAAAAATTAAATTTGATATAATTTGTGAGAATAATATTTAAAAAGTGATAATGTGTATTTCTTTTGACGTAAAAAATTTTTTCTAAACTAAATACTATAATATAAATTTAAAAAAAATAAAATTTTTTTTACAGACTCCAAAATGTTATCAAGAAAAATGATACTTAACGTCCGAAATAATGCAAAAAAATTCAGTAATTATGTCAAAGTCGTTGAAGTAGGACCAAGAGATGGTTTACAAAACGAAAAAAAAATCTTACCTAGTTCTATAAAAATAGAATTGATCAACAAGTTGTCACAAACAGGATTAAAAACAATTGAAGCTACAAGTTTCGTATCTCCTAAATGGGTTCCACAAATGCAAGACAACGCAACAGTATTTAAAAGTATTGACAAAAAAAGTGAAATAAATTACCCGGTTTTAGTTCCTAATTTAAAAGGCTTACAAAGTGCTCTAGAAGTTGGCGTAAAAGAGATAGCAATTTTCGGAGCAGCTTCTGAATCTTTTTCTCACAAAAATATAAACTGCTCAATTGAAGAAAGCATTAAAAGATTCAAAGAAGTAATACTAGAAGCGCAGAAAAATAATATTAAAACACGTGGTTATATTTCGTGCATAGCAGGGTGTCCGTATGAAGGAAATATTAAAGCGTCAGCTGTTGCGAAGGTTGCAGATGCAATGTTGCAACTAGGATGCTATGAAATATCACTTGGTGATACTATTGGCGTGGGTACGCCTAAAAAAATAATAAATGTCTTAAATGAAATTAAACATCTTTCAAAGCTAGGCAATTTCGAAGAATTCGCTCTTCATTGCCATGATACTTACGGCCAAGCTCTTGCAAATACTTATGCGAGTCTTGAATACGGAGTTAGAATATTTGACGCATCAGTGGCTGGACTTGGAGGGTGTCCTTATGCTGCTGGTGCATCTGGAAATTTAGCTACTGAAGATCTTCTTTATTTACTCAGCGAGCAAGGATTTAAAACAGATATTAATTTAAATGAAATTATTGAAATAGGAGATTGGATTAGCGGAGAATTAGGTAGAACCAATATGTCAAAAGTTGGTCTTGCTACTATTGCTAAAGAAAAATTAAAAAAGAAATCAGAGTGATTATTATTAAAAATATTCAAGCATTTTATTTTAATATCTAACATGATATTTAAAAAATTTTATTAAGCTTCACTCTTGTGTCAATTAATTGTACATACATTGACTATTTTATAAAAAAAAACACAGTAAATATTTGATATATTTTTTTATAATTTCTTTAAAAATATAATTTTATTATATTAAATGATTTTTTCGTTTTATTATTTTATAGTTTCAAGCAATTTGAGATCGTTATTAATTTTTTTAAGCGTTATGATATATTTGATAGTTCTTGAAGAATTGCTTGTGTGTCTAGTGCATTTAAATTTATTGAAGCTCGTGTGTCAATAATAATTCCAGTTACCTATTAAAATAATTTTAATTATTAAATATGTATATATAAAAAAAAATACATATAAAAAATATATATAAAAAAAAATTAGTAGATAATAATTTACCATTTCTTCAAAGAATGTCGTGTGGTTTGGTTTTTCCGAGTATCTTTCATATTGATCTAGATTATCTTGTAATTTCAAAGCAAGTGTGTCGTAATTTTGTATGATGATAGCAAGAATTTGTTGCTCAGTTGGTGTTGATAAACTTTCGCTCGCTAACCAAGCTGATATTTTTGGTGGAAAATGGTTTACAATATCTCGCATATTCACGAGACTATTCATCAACTTCAATGCATGTTCTTTATATTCATATGATTCAGTCGTTGAATATCTAAGGGCTTGAATAATAATTTTTTTAATATACATTAACTTGAATTTGTGCTTTTTCAATATTTCATTTCATTCTCACCGATAGTTAATTTATTATGATAATTAAGAAATGACCCTGTATCTCGTCAACTATTGACATTATTAAAGATATAAGCTTATCCCGATGTTACACTAATCGAGACCTTTCATTTGAGTACCCACATCAATTTTTCATATATTTATATTATATATATATATGAAAAATATATCAAAAATGCATGTGGGTACTCAAATGAAAGCTCTTGATGAGTGTAACATAAGGATGAGCTTATATCTTTGAAAACATCAATATTTAACAAATTACAGTGCAATTTAACAAAAGTCATCATATAGTGACTGCAAGGTTGCTAGTATTTATGATATTGCTTCATTGATGTAGCATTATTTTGTATTGTAATAAAAATTTTTTCTACGCTCTTTTGACATTTGTCTTACGACATAATAATTTGATAAATAATAAAAAACTTACCCATAGCATTTAAATTTGTAAAAATAAGTCTCATTCTTATAATTTCATAAAACAATTCATCATAGCTACTCGGTAGTGACAAAAAAGTATCACCATAAGTAATAAAAAGATTTAAAATATTGACAATCTAAAAAAAAAAAAAAATCAATCTATAAAATTTTTTTTCTCACTACAAAATTTTGCTTTAAAAAAAATCTTTACCTGTATAGCTAAAGGGAAAATATTCATTTTTTTAACAAGATGCGCTTCGTGGGTCGTTAAAAATTTAAGAAGATTAAACAGCGCGGTCCAAAGCTCTTTCCACTGGTACCCAAGTCTTACTCCGCATCTCTTTTGGTAGCACAGCAATCTCTGCAGCACCCCTATGCACTGATGATACAGTTCAAGAGGGAATTTTTTCATCATATGCGACGTAATGAATTCAACCAGAAGATCCAAAAGAGTAGCAGCAAGTGGTTGAGTGGGTGCAACTTTGTCCTGAATTTTCCTATGATACATCGGCATCCGATGAAGCTGGACTCTGAATGCCAGATTGGCATCATGCATCAGATTATTAGCATACTGATCCTCAGCGATGCAACTTAGTATAAGAAAGCATAACTTAACATTATTTAAAATAGCCTCGGTTTTAATTGCTTGCATGACTATTGAGCAGTATTGTAAAAATATAGCGAGTAAATTAAATGGCTGGGCTATCACATCAGGCGGTTGGGACCCAGGAGCGACCGCGTTAGGTCCCAGGGTGTTGTTAGGCGAAGGCGGAGCGCTGGTGTCACTTTTGGTGAATGCTAAAGTTGTCACAAAATTTCTGTTAAGATGTGTCGCTTCATAAAGAGCCAGCAGCAGCGCGTTGTTCGCGCGAACTTGCTGAGTCTTGGCTTCTTCTTCGCCGACAAACATGCTACCGACCATACTCGTCAATGATGACAGCCAGCTGGCTTGTACTTCCGCTTTTTGCTGGACAAATAATCTACAAAATTCCATCAAAGATCCGGAGATCACTTGGCTGTATCCATTCAATGCTAACTCGTCGTCGAGAATTGATAATTTAACAATATACGAGTTAGTACTTTCGTATTTTCTGTAATTTACTAGCAGAGTTAAAAGCAACACTGCATCGTGCCCGTGACGATTTCTCAAAGTTGTTTCTCGTAATAATTGAATTAAGGATTCAAATACTCCGTTTACCATCACGTACTCCAGCAAACTATTCTGGCTGAGATTGTCCGTTCCAGTTACTATTATTAATAAGAGTTTAAGGCAAAGCGCTTTTAAGCTGTCGGGGTATTCTCCTAGTAAAAAGGTGTTGCAGTGCTGCATTAACGTTGTCATACGCTCCTCAGCGTCCTTTAACCCAATTAAGACGTCTACTAAATTGAAATCACACTCGTTTTGACTAGCTTTTTTGTAGATTGATTGGATCACTGCGGCTAAGGTTTGCAGAGCATACACCACGCGGAATGGGTGCTCGTCTATTAGTGTGTCGATTGAATGACATACTAATGCGTTTAAATTGTTTTTACATGTTGATAATTGCTCGGCTGACATTTTTAAAATTTCATTTTCTATGTGAGGTACCTAAAAAAAAATATTTTATTTTAATAAATAGGAGTGAAGTTAGCTGTCAGCTGATCATTTTTTTTTAATTTTTATAAAAAATTAATTACGGTAAAAAAAATTCCTTACCAAATTTACACATTAGTGTAAAAAAATTATTGATTTTTTTTCATTTTTACATGTGAAATTTTATATTAAAATTAACTTAGCCGACAATGATGCTAAAGTTAGCCGACGTTTGTAATTTTTTGATTGATTTTCATTAATTAAATTAGAACTAAAAAATATTTTCTAAAAATTGCACGGGTAGTTTTTCAAGTTTTTTACAAATGAAAATTTTTCTTTGTTTTTTTGTGATAATTTTTCAATTAAAAAAAATTCTGAAAATTTTTAAATGTCGGCTGACTTAATTTTCATTAGTCGACACTCAAAAATTTTTGATATTTTTTATTAAAAATTAGCATTAAAAAACTATTTTTTTTAAATTCCAATTTTTTTAATTTTCTAAAAGTGAAAATTTTTATTTTAATTTTTTAAAAATTATTTTTCAACAAAATAAACTATAAAAATTTTTAAATGTCAGCTAATTTAATTTTCATAAATTTTATTATAATAATTTAATTGCAATAAAATTATTAAATAAATAAGAATATTTGACATTAAAATAAATAATGGCAAAAAAATTTGACATGTAAAAATGAATAAAAACAAAGAATGCAATTTTTTAAAAATAAATTTTTGGAAATTTTTTTATTAAATAAAATAAAAAAATGATCAAGTGACTGCAAACTTAAATGTCATCTCATGAATATTTGTAAAACTTACTATCGGTTTAATTAGAAACACTTCATTCCAAAAATTAGGATGTCCTGACGTTAAATCTTCTCCTTTGAATAAACTTTCATAAATAGGAATTAATTTACCTTTATGCTGGCGTTTAGAGCCAGAACCACTTCGTTTTCTCATTGCCATTGTGAGTATTTGTTTAAAATTTATTATTCATCAATAATTAAGCATCTTTATTAATTATCAATATTTATCCTGTTAAATTAAAAATAAACTATTAATAAAAACTTTTATGCTAAAAATAATAAAATGTATTTTTATTATTCAATTAAATGTCAAATTTTTTAATAATAAATAAAAAAAAACAATTAAATATTATTTTTGACGTATTTAAAATAACCTCAAAATACTCCGAAATTTGTACAGATAAGAAATATATCTGTATATACATAAACACACCAATGTACAATTTACTTAATAAGTTTTTGTATATATTTTGACTATATATAGTCAGTGTTTTGACTATATATCAACAGAAATTAAACTGAGTGGTTGGCTCCGTTTAATACGTCACATAATCCGATATAATTTTATCCAATCAATTAAATGTTTTAAATAAAAAAAAAAAAAAAAAAACAAATATTATTCAACATGTGTTGGAGGGTTAAAATTTTTTATAATCTTCATAAAAATTATTTAAATCAAAAAAAGTAAGTAAAATTATTTTATTTTATTATTATTGTTAATGAAACTGAAGTTAGCTGTCAGCTGTCACTTTTAAAAATTTTAATAACAATAATAAAAACACTTGAAAAAATTTTTTTTTAATTGACACGTGGAATTTTTTATTAATTTGTTTTTTTTTTTTTTTTTTAACAATTATTTATTTTTTATAAAATTATAAAAAGAATGTTAAGTGTTATTATTATTATTTTAATTGTTTATTAAAATGACTGTTTAAAATTTTCCAGCAATAAAAAATTGTTAAAAATAATAAACAGCTGTTATACAAGTCATGAATATACAACACGTGGACACCAGAATAATTTTACAGAAAATAAAAGTAAATATTTACAATATTCTTGGAAAGCCGGGTTGATTTCTTCACTAATAGGTGTTTCTTATTATTTATGGAAAAATGAAGTCTATGCATTAGATTTAATAACTTTAAAAGAAACTCCAGGGGTAAAAAAAAGTCATTTAAAAACGTACACTGTAGAAGAAGTAGGAAAGCATGACAATGAAAATGACGGAATTTGGGTTTATTATAAAGAAGGTGTTTATGATATTACTAAATTCGTATTGAAACATCCTGGAGGTCCAGAAAAAATAATGATGGCAGCTGGAGGGTCCATCGAACCTTTTTGGATGATATTTGCAAATCACAATGTGTCAGAAATTTATCAGCTGTTGGAATCTATGAGGATTGGTAATTTAGATATTAGTAAAGACAGTAAAAAGATTGAAGCTACAGAAGATCCATATGCGAATGATCCTAAGCGGCATAAAGTACTGAAAGTTAATGGTCCGAAACCTTTTTGCGGTGAAACTCCGGGTCCTTTACTCTGTGAAAGCTTCTTGACACCAGCGTAAGTTAATTATAAATTATTTTTATTTAATTTTTAATTAAAATAAAATTTTATTAAATTATAGAGACACTTTTTATGTGAGAAATCATTTACCAGTACCTGAAATCGATATTAAAGACTACGAACTGGAAATAGCAATTGAAGATGACACAAAAAAAGTTATAAATTTTGAAAATATTAAAAAATATCCGAAATATACTATAACGACAGCAATTATGTGTGGAGGAAACAGACGCTCTGAGATGAATGCTGTAAATATATTATTTGCTTTTTTAATTTTTACTAGCAACTTTGCAGTCACTATGTGACTGCCGTGACTTGTGAACTATAAAAAATGAAAATTTTGCTTTATTAAATAATGACTTTTGTTAAATTGCACTGTAGTTCCTTAAATATTGACGTTTGTAAAAATATAAGCTCATCCCGATGTTACACTCATCAAGAGCTATCATTTAAATACCCACATGCATTTTTGATATATTTTTCATATATACATATATATTATATATAAATATATATAAATATATGAAATATTGATATGGGTATTCAAATGAAAGGTCTCGATGAATGTGATGTCGGGGTGAGCTTATATCTTTAAAAATGTCAATAGTTCACAAGATAATTGTTAAATTGCACTTTACTTTCTTAAATATTGACATTTTTAAAGATATAAGCTCATCCCGATGTTACACTCATCAAGACCTTTCATTTGAGTACCCACATGCATTTTTATATATTTTTCATATGTACATATATATTATATATATAATATATAAAATATATGAAAAATTGATGTGGGTACTCAAATGAAAGGTCTCGATGAGTGTAATGTGGGGGTGAGCTTATATTTTTAAAAATGTCAATAGTTCACAAGATACAAGGTCATTTCTTAATTATGTATCTAGAGTTAGAGCATTTTCGAATGCAGCCTAAATACTTATCATCATAAATTACCAAAAAAATTGCTTTTATCATCCAACTTTTTTGAAAATAAAATTTTTCTTATTCTCTTAATAACATAGATTACTCATAAATTAGTAAATAATTTTTTTTTTTTTTTTCAGGTAAAACCTCTTAAAGGTTTGAGTTGGGGAGTAGGCGCTGTAGGCAATGCATCCTGGTCTGGAGCAAGACTGACTGACGTTCTAGCAGACCTAAAAATTAATGAAGACGACTGGAAGCACGTCCAGTTTGAAGGATACGACTTGGACCCATCTGGAGTTCCTTACGGTGGTTCTATTCCAATCAGCAGAGCACTGGACCCCAGAGCTGATATTATATTAGCTTATGAAATGAATGGCGAACCGATTCCTCGAGACCACGGCTATCCTATTCGCGCAATTGTTCCTGGTGTTGTTGGCGCTAGAAATGTTAAATGGCTAGCAAAAATAGTTATTTCTAATGAAGAAAGCCGGTCTCAATTTCAACGAGGGGATTACAAAGGATTTTCTCCTAGTGTTGATTGGGACACGGTGGATTTTTCAAAGTCACCTGCTATTTTAGACATGCCTGTTACTTCTGCTATTTGTACACCTACTCCAGGAGAGATTGTTAAATTGAAAGATGGAAAAATACCCGTTAAAGGGTACGCTTGGTCTGGAGGCGGTAAAAAAATTATTCGTATTGACTTGACAGTAGATCAAGGAAAAACTTGGCACGTAGCGCATCAATTGATAGACGATGAAAATGCCAAAGAAGGTCGTCATTGGTCATGGACACTTTGGTCCGCTGAAATTCCTATTGACGTTGATAAAAATGAAGTTGAAGTTTGGGTTAAGGCTGTTGATGCTTCTTATAACGTTCAGCCAGAAAGTTTTGAAAATATTTGGAATTTACGCGGTCTTCTTTGCAATGCATATCATCGAGTTAATGTTAAAGTTAAAAAATAATTTAAACTATCTAAGATATTACGAACAAATTTAATATATAAAGAGAATTACCGTGTGATAATTATCAAACTTAAAGTTAGCTTAGATTAATTTTTTAATCATTTTTAATCCTGTCAAATCATGTAAATTATTTTAAATTATATCTCATACGGGCATTTAACATTGTAAATTCATTTTGTTTAATAAGGGAGATTTATTTAAAAAAACTTAATTAATTATTTTGTAAATTTTATATTTATATACTTAATACTATTTGAATTAATATAAAACTTGTAATTATGAGTGTAAACTATTTTATATAACTAGAAAATCAAACACGCTAATTAATCAAAATTTTTACAAATTTTACTCATTAATATTTAACAGTGGCCATGGTAACCGTCGCTATGATAACTGTTTCCATGGTAACCGTTGCCAAATTAGTCACCATAGTAACAAAAAGCGACAACAATGAAAACGTCACATAAACTTTTTAATAAAAGAAATCCTTTATGCAATAGCTTCATGTATTTTTTCACTGTCATCATTTGAATTGCTAAAAAAATCTATCAACTGATCAACGCTCATATCTAATACCAGCTTATTATTGACATCATGAACTTCAAATAAAGGGCTGTCTTGCACTGAATTTTTACCAATAATTATTAAGTAAGGATAGCCAGTTCTCTTAGCGTCCAAAATTCGTCTACCAATAGTCAGGTTAGTTCTATCATCAACGATGAAATCAATATTTCTCTTATCCAGCATCTCAATAAATGCGTCTGTGAAATGAGCTGCTGTAGATTCCTTGCTTTTTTCCTTTGGTGGCAAAATGCAGACTGTAAAAGGCGCGAGACATTTAGGCCACCTCAGAGATTCTTCAGTTGATAAAATTTCAACTACGGCGGCCATTAATCTAGTTAGTCCTAGACCATAGCAGCCCATTTCAAAGAACACATGATCGCCTTGGACATGACAAGAGGCTCCTAGTGCTCTGGAGTATTTATTTCCGAGCAAAAATGTGTGTCCAACCTGTAAAAATTCATTTTATTAATTAATGAGTATTTTATTAATGATTATTTATCATTTTATTAAAGATTATTTATTTTTATACATAATAATTTATTATTTTATTAATGGGTATTTTATTAATGATTATTTATTATTTTATTAATTAAATCTGAGTTATAATTTAACATAGATTTTTCTTACCTCTATTCCCTTTTGTTCTGTTAATTCCGAGCCGCAATTGAAGCAAGTTGTTTTATCTATAATTGTAGCGTTGACGTTAACTTCACAAGAACTGCATGACAAAATTTTATCCTCCCCAATATCTGATAAATAATGAAATTCGTGGGACAAATTACCACCCATCAATCCTGGGTCACCCAGAGCTACGGTATAAGGAACTCCAATGTGAGATAAAATTCTATTATAAGCTTGCTTAACAGATTCATAAGTTTCTGTGGCATCTTCTATTGTTACGTCAAATGAATATAAATCTTTCATTATAAATTCTCTGCTACGAAATAAACCTAATCGTGGTTTCATTTCGTCTCTCCATTTTGTTGAAATTTGATAAAGTAACAGCGGTAACTGGCTTTTTTGTACAGATCCTATTTTTGTTATCAAACTTGTTATTGCTTCTTCGTATGTCTGAAATACAATTCATTTTTTTATTGTAAATCTTTGTGAGGAAATTTAAAAAACAGAACATCATAATTTCTGAATGATACTAAAGTCGACATCTGTCAATTTTTTAAATTTTTATTGCAGGTCAATGATAAAAAACAAACTTAAAAAAAAATTTACACTTTTAGGACCAGTTTTTCAATCTAGGATAAAATTTTATCTAATAAAATATATCTATATATTTTATATATATAAATATACTGGCAATAATAATTTTATCCTGGATAAAATTATATCTTAGATTGAAAAACTGACTCTTAATTTTTTTTAATTTTTAGATAAGAAATTTTTTAATTAAAATTTTTTCATAATAATTTTATTGTTATAAAAATCTAAAAAATTGACAGATGTCTGTTAATTTCAGTATAATCATTTCTGATGGTATTTTTTAATGGCTTCTAAAAATTTTTTATAATTTATAAAAATTAATTTACCAGATATTTAATAATTTTTTTAATAAATAAATTTAAAAAAAAATTGACAAATTTAATTTAATAAAATTAAAAATGCAATTTTTAAAAAACAATTTTTTGGAGCAAATTTGTTTGTTTTTTAAGTAATTAAATTGTTGTCACAACTTACAGGACTTAAAATAAATTTTTCTTCATGCCTATCTGTAAATTTCATAAGTTCAGGACCCATTCCTTGCAACCTGCCAGTTTTCTGCCATAATTTAGCGCTGGTTAAATTAGGCAGTAGCATTTTTTGTGCTCCAATATTTGTCATTTCATGGTCAACTATAGCTACTAATTTTTCAAGCACACGGTATCCCAGTGGAAGCAAAGTGTACATTCCAGAATTGGCTTGCCGGATTACTCCCATGTCTAACATCAGCTAAAAGTAAATATTTTTATTAATTATTATTTTTTAGGTTAAAAAGCAATAATATTTAATAACAAACCCTGTAGCTTTTAGCTCTTTCATCAGGTTTAAGTACTGCTTCCTTCGGGATCACTTTTACTGGTTGAAATATTTTAGATACTCGATTAATGTTTTTTAATAGTTTATTTGACATATTTGATATATTTTAAATATTCCGGCTTCGGCAAAATAATTTATGATAAAACTGAAATGTTTTTATTTATTTTTTTTTAGGTGTACAACAATGAAAAGTTATCTTGTTTAGCGTTTGTCGGTAAGCTATTTAAAAAAAATTCACCAATTATTTTAATTTAATTGTTTTTATTGATTGCGTCAACAAACAATTGATCAAAATAAAATTTAAAAAATTATAACACTTTAAAAATTATCTCACAAAATTTTATTTACAATTCACTGAATGACACTGAAGACATTAGAAATATTTATGCGATTAAAGTTAGCAGTCACTGAAGAATTTTTTAATTTTTTTTAACAAAAAAATTTGTTCTAAAAAATGATTTTTTAAAAATTGCATTTTTAATTTATTAAAATTTCTACAAGCCCATTTTTTTAATATTTTTTTTTTCTGCCATAATTTATTTATTAAAGAAAATTAAAAAAAATTGTGGTGACAGCTAAATTTAATGTCATAAATATTTTTAGAATTTTATTGCACTTAAATTATTATAAGAAAATATTTAACAAAAAGATTTAAAACATAAAAATTAATAAGTATTAAAAAAAATTTGTAAAAGCATTTTTAATTATTGTTGATTTGTTACAAAAATTTAAAAAATTGACAGCTGACAGCTAACTTCACTTCACTTAAATAAATATTTGAATTTTCAGGAAGCCTAAAGCGCATGCGCGAAGAAATAAAAAACATAAAAAACGAAAAACCCCGTCAGTATAAGAAACAAAAATGGCTGCTGACGTATAATAGCATGTCAGCGTGTCATTCTTCACTGCTGGAAGTCTCCAGTCTAATCGTGACTTCTATGCTGATAAAATGTCCCGATTATGGCTGAACTTTTGTTTGTTGTCATTTGTTACCTCCGTAGCTCCTCAAAGTAATTTATCTGCATCATTTCGCAATGCCAAAGTTTGTACCATATGTTATTTATTTAAATAATATTCATTTATATTGTAACTATGACTCTACAACTTTTTAAAAATATTTATTTTGATTTTCAGTTTGAACATTCTGCTAAAACTCTGTCCAATTCAGAAGTCCGAACTCTCGCTTCTCTGTCAAATGTGTCGCATGTTGAAGAAGTTTTAAATGAGATTTGTATTGTCAGAGTTGTCGGAAGTTTAAATCATGCCAAAGTTAAAAATGTTTGTAGAAATTTATCTAATTAATATATCAAATTTAAATTAATAATAACTAATTAATTTATTAAATTTTAGTACATAAAAAGAACAATGAGAAACCTCGGCTGGAGTTTAGAGACAGACGAGTTTTACGACGTAACTCCAACATTCGGAAAGCTTAGATTTGAAAATATAATTACGACGCTTAATCCAAATGCTAAGAGATATTTAACTCTAGCTTGTCACTACGACTCTAAGTACTCGAGAGAAGGTAATTTTGTTGGGGCTACAGACAGCGCAGTACCTTGCGCTCAATTACTCAACTTGGCTACTGTTATGCAAAAACAGTTGGAACCGCTCAAGCATGTTGGTATTTTTATATCAATTTTTTTCATTTTATTTACAATTTTTTAATTTTATTTATCAAACAAATTTGTTCCAAAAAATTGCATTTTTAATTTTTTAAAATTTCTACAAGTCAACTTTTTTTTACCATAATTTATTTGTTAAAAAAATTATCAAATATCTGTTTGACATTAAAGTTAGCAATTTTGGCCATTTTTTAATTTAAAAAAAAAAAACCAGTTTTAAAAAATTGCATTCTTTATTTTTTAAAATTTCTATATCTTAATTTAAAAAAAAAATTTTTTTTGTCATAATTTATTTGTTTCAAAAATTATCAACAATCTACTAAATTAATTTTCATTAGTAAATTAAAATTTTAATCAAATTTCTTTCTTTAAAATTAAACACTTACAGGCTGAATTAAGCCTCATGTTTATATTCTTCGATGGAGAAGAAGCTTTCGATACCTGGGGACCCACAGATTCAATTTATGGAGCTCGACACTTGGCCGATAAATGGCATTCTGTAAAACAAACTTATGGAGACGAAGATGACATCAGCAATTTGGATAAAATGGTAATAGCGTTTTTGTATGTCTATTCACGAAATAAAACTTTAAAATACTAACGGGTTTTAAAAACTTTTTACGTGGGTTATTTCAAAGTCGTTCGACCGTAAAAGAACCGTTGAATTTTATTTAAAGAATAAACTTATTACTAAAAAAATTAATGTTTATTATTAAGTCTATTTTATTTTCACAAAAAAAAATTCATTTCCTGATAATTTTCTAGTTTTCTTCTTCAAGAATTTCTTTAAAAAAATTACTAATTAATTTTATGTATTCCAGGATGTCTTGGTACTGTTAGATTTAATAGGAGCAACAGATCCTAATTTTTACAACTTCTTCGACAGTACGGTTCGTTGGTACTCTCAATTGATTTTAGCAGAAAAAAGTTTGGCTGACTTATCTTTATTGAAAAACTATTTTGGACACATACCTTCTCGGAAATATTTCCAGCCCCAGTCTGTGAACTCGTACATCGAAGATGATCACATACCTTTCCTTAAAAAAAGTTAGTTAATTATTTGTTTAAGTCTAATTAGTATACCTTATAACTAGATACTATACTAGACACATAGATAATGAAAAATGTAAATATTTATTTTATAGACGTACCAATCCTTCATTTAATACCGCACCCATTTCCGGACGTTTGGCACAAGCCGAGTGATAATTTGCAAAACATCGATCTGACGACTACAGAAAACTTGAATAAAATTCTACGGCTGTTTGTGGCTAGTTATTTTGGACTCAGTGTATAATCAAAAATTTTTTAGTTACAATTTATTGTTTGTTTTAGTAAATTACTTTAAAAAATAATTGTGTAAGTACTTAACTTTTAATTTGTAAAGTTTTGTTGAATTTACAGAATTTACTGCTAATTAGTAATAGTGAACTATTGTTGATAGATTAACGTTTTTTTATTTAAATTTTATGCAGTACATGTACATATTTAAATAAATGTTTATACCATGGATACTCAAATTTTTAAGAAGTATTTTATTTAATAATAAATTCCAAAGAATTATAAAATTTTTATAAATTAATTCAAGTAAGTTTTTTGTAAAAATTGTCAATAAAAAAAATAGATACTTGACAATTTGAAAAATTTTTTTTTCAAAAAAAAAACTAGGTTTAGAAAATTATTAGATTTTTAATTTTTTTATAACACTAAAGTTGTCAAAAATTTTTTTAGAATTTTAAAACAATGATATTATTATTATAAAATAAATTAATAATAAAATTTTACTTGTAAAAATTAAAAAAAAATTGACAGCTGTCAGCTGATTTCAGTATCATAATTTTTTTTAGAGCTTTTAAAAATAAATTTAAGAAAATTAAAGTAGCAGATATGTAATAATTTTTAGAATTTTTATAAGAAATAATTTATTAAAAAAAAAAATTGACATGTAGAAATTTAAAATATCATTTTTCAAAATAAAAAAATTAAAAATGCAATTTTTTAAACCAAATTTCTTCATTAAATAAAATAAAAAAATTGCTAAATAACAGCTGACTTTAATGTCATAATAAATTTTTCATGCTGTAATTAATATATTAAAAAAACTTCTCAAAATTATCACACGTCAAAATAAAAATAAAAATTTTTTTGACATTTAAAAAATTTAATATTAACAGAGCAGCAAAAACTATCAAGCAAGTGCTGCCTCTAAGACGCCTAAAAAACACTTGGACAAGTTGTAAACACAGAGAAGAAAAAAACTAAACCGCGAGTAATAATTTTTTCCTCCGCAATTGGCAGCAGTGGTGAGGTCATCGCACGTTGGACGCGCCCGTAACCGGTTCAAGCCGACTCGCTTCGGAGTTTAACGAAGCGACCCGAACTCCAGGACTCGGTGATTCGCTTTATTATTTCACTAACCCACCGGTCTGACGCGACTAGTTCTCCAGCTCCGTTTTAACTTTTAACTCAGCTTAATATACGTTGTACGTAATACACGAGTTTAAGAAGTGTTTAAGTTTTTTAATTTAACAATTACTTATCGGTGGATACTATTGTGATTGTTCTGCCTATAAAAGAAAATAAAAAAAGTGTGCTTGAATTTTGAATACAATTTTTAAATTTACGAATTTAAATATCCAGATTTTTATAAATAAAAAAAAAATAATTAATTAAATAAATAATAATTTTATTATAAAATGAATAAAAAATCCAGCCGGGAAAAATAAACAGCAGTTGACATATCACAGCGGACTTGAACGACATGCTGCGGCTGCGAGTGATGGTATCAGACATTTACGGTAATATAAATCGGCATTGTATCAAAGTTAACGCGCGAACAAATAAAATAAAAAAATTGTAATTAAAAATTAAAGAAGCAATATTTTAATTCTTTTAAAAGGAATTATTGATTCTGAACTGTGGAAATTTTTGGAGGATTTAAATGTGTCAGAGAGGTTAAAACCCATGTACTTATAACACTACTATATACATATCTATGTGCATCAACACGAGTGTATAAAACGTTTGATTTTATATTTAAATCTTTCATGAAAGTGAAAGGTAAGGTGGAGTTCCGTAAGTGAAGTGTTAATTGTACGTCCAGGCATATTGAATTTGTTCGGTGGACTAGCAATAGTTATTTAACCTGGAATAGTTTATTTAATAATCAAGATGCTGAAATTCATTCGTGGGAAAGGCCAGCAGCCAACGGCGGAACGTCAAAAATTGCAGAAGGATCTTTTTGCGTTTAGAAAGGTAACTAATAATAATCCTGGGTTCTGTTAGGTTTATTAAACCGCAGCTGGAATGCCGAGACTGCTGCAACGACGCCCCAGTCTATCGCGTGTCAATTCTCAGGTGCTCTTTTTCCTCTTTGTCATCCAAATTTATTTTTTTTAATTATTAATTTAATACTTTTTGGGTAATTATTGAGTAATAGATAATAATATTTTACAGAAAATTCGGAGCAGTAATTATTTAATTAAATTTAAGTTAGCTGACTTAGAAAAAATCTTTAAAATTTTTTTTATTGACAAAATTATTAATAAAAAATTTTTATTTATAGAAAATTAAAAAAATTATTAGTGTAATTTTTTAAAAATATTTTTTTCTTATAATTTAATTAATGAAAAGAAATTAAAAGCGCTAGCTAACTTTAGTTTTATATTAAACGCTCCAAAATAAATATGAAAATTAAGCTAGCTACTTGAAAAATTTTAAAAATTTTTTTTTATTGACAAAATTATTAATGAAAAAATTTTTATTTATAGAAAATTAAAAAAATTATAAGTGCAATTTTTTAAAAATATTTTTTTCTTATAATTTAATTAATGAAAAGAAATTAAACGCTCCAAAATAAAAATGAAAATTAAGCTAGCTACTTAAAAAATTTTTAGAATTTTTTTTTTACTGACAAAATTATTAATAAAAAATTTTTATTTGTAGAAAATTAAAAAAATTATAAGTGCAATTTTTTAAAAATATTTTTTTGTTCTAATTTAATAAACGAAAAAAAAATTAAAAGCGCCAGCTAACTTTAATATTGTATTAAAAGATGAAAATTAAGTTAGCTGACATCTAAAAATTTTTATAATTTTTTTTATAAAAAAAATTTTTATTTATAAAAAACTTTAAATGCAATTTTTAAAAAACATTTTTTTGTTCTAATTTAATAAATTAAAAAAATTAGAAAGGTCGGCTAACTTTCACCAATTTATTTCTGATAAATAAACTTTACAGTTAATTAAGTACTAATTAATCAATTAATTAACTGAAAGTTATACGATAATTTAATAAATTAAAAAATTAGAAAGGTCAGGCTTAACTTATGTATTATTATTAAATGCTCAAAAAAAATTAGTCGAAATGTTTTTAAGTACTTTTTAATGACAGAAAAAATTTTAAATAATTTCAATTACAATTTTTAAAATTAATCCAGTATAAAATTTTTTTATTTATTAAATTAGAATAAAAAAATACTTTTTAAAAGTTGCATTTTAAACTTTTTACAAATCAAATTATTTTTGTAATAATTTTTTTAATAAAAAAAATTATAAAAATTTTTAAATGTCAGCTCAGTTAATTTTCATAAATAATTATCAAGATTTAAAGTATTTATATTAAAAGGCAAAAATAGAGTAGAGCAATTGTTAATAAATCATGAATTTAAATATGTATTTTAATAGCAGACTTATTAATAAGTAGTCTAAAAGTTTTATGATTATCAATGAAGCATAAACGTGGCCTCTTTAGGATCAACAGGTCCTTAAAAAAATCAAATTTAATTTTTTTAAATTAATTTCTAAATTAAAAATAGTTAATTTGATAATTATCTAATAGGTATAACACGCCTACTATTTTATTAACGATTGAACGTTCCCACGCGATCGATAAAACACACTAACCCATGTTAGTTTTATTATTTAATCTATAATAGTAAAAAATTCTGTATACATTATCGTAAGCAAATATTTTTTCGTTTTGTTATGATAATAAATTTAAAAAATATATAGTTTAAGAATAAACAGTCGTTACTTATCAATCGGTATCTAGATAATTAAACGACAAAGACCGCAAACAGTTTTGAAAAATAGTATCTTATCAACCTTACACCTGGATAAGGATCTTAGATAAATAAACTCGTTTAAATTTTAAAATAAAAATAGAATTCGGAAAAATTTTTTAAATAAAATTAAATTTAAGTATTTTTCCAATAAGAGTCAGGTACAATTGTCAGGAAATATATTTTGCAGGTATAAAATCCTAACTCAAAGTTGTCTAACCGTAAACTGCCACCCAGTTGGTCCAAGGGGACTTGAATATTTTTGTTTTTTCATTTTCTACTCGTTTTCTACGTCCCCTCTTTGCTTTTTATGCATGAGAAGGCTTTGTCCCGCGCAACATGATATTTGCGTCCAAAGATGCAGTTTTACAATATAACTTTTTTATTTTTTTTTTTTCTTCAAGAGAGATTTATTATTATTATTATTCTAGTTTTTTAAATCTTGGATTCTCTTTTTCAAGTCTCTCCATTAGATATTCCAGAATATTTCTATTTGACGGTCTCTTATTTTTATTCTACATTTATTTAGATTTTTTATTCGCCGAGATAAACTTTTGGATAATACTGAATAGAAGGTTACGAGGAGAACAGGAATTAAGGAACGTCAGACCATAAATTAGCAGCTAGTGAGTCATCCTATCGATGAGCCATCGAGCATGTACTTTCCATTTTCATTAGGCATATTTCAAAGTGTCCATTTGACAAAATATCAAATCATACGTCCTTAATTCCATATGGTTTTATTGTTTGTAATATATTTTGTCTTTCGCAATTTGTTTAATGTGAAGCTATTGAGTAATTTACTCGGAAGAAATCGAAGTAATTTTTTAACAATAAATTAGTTTTATTTCTTTTTAAATTGCTATTCTAATTTACGAGCTAAATTTATCTATTTAAAAATTTATTTATTACAACTACCAACCTGCTGTCACTACGTTAAACTAAATGAATAAAATGTTGCTTTATTAAATAATGAATTTTGTTAAATTGTACTCTACTTTCTTAACAATTAACATTTTTTAAGATATAAGCTCATCCCGATGTTACACTCATCAAGAGCTTTCGTTTGAGTACCCACATAAATTTTTCACATATTTTTCATATACTTATATATATATAATATATATAAATATATGATATATATGAAAAATTGATGTGCGTACTCAAATGAAAGGTCTCGACGAGTGTAACATCGGGATGAGCTTATATTTTAAAAAATACCAAAAGTTCACCAGATATTTGTTAAATTACACTGTAATTTCTTAAATATTGATGTTTTTGAAGATATAAGCTCATCTCGATATTACTCTCATCAAGAGCTTTCATTTGAGTACCCACATACATTTTTGATGTATTTTTCATATATACAAATATATAATATATATAAATATATAAAATATATGAAAAATTGATGTGGGTACTCAAATGAAAGATCTTGATGAGTGTAACATCGGGATGAGCTTATATCTTTAAAAATGTCAATAGTTTACAAAATACAAGGTCATTTCTATCTAGAGATAGAGCATTTAAGAATGCAGCCTAAATACTCATAATAATTAATTAAAAAAAATTAATATTTAAAAAAAACTTTCCAAGTTAAAGTAATGAAATCTTATATATTTAATATTTATTCCGTGAATTAAATAGATTGCTAGTCATCTCGAGCTAAGTAATTAAATTGATATAAATATTATAAATTATACTTCATCCAATTGCTCAGCTTTTTTTACTTGTTTATCAACAACTCATTCCCTATCACCTCAATTATTCGTTGACATTTGCGGTGAAAAAAAAAAACAATTTCTTCACAAAGGACTTGTGTTATTTTGTTTAAAGCATGCATTGCATTGGAAAATAATTGTGCTCTTTGTACGTTTCTTGTGAAACAGCAGTTTAAAACTCGCAATATAAATATTTCACATGCGCTCCAACCGGTCTCGTAATAGGTTTATGTTTTTAAAAATATCGAATAATAAACAGCTAAAAAATAACTTATATCGCATTTTATTTGACACATTATTTACGATTGCCTAATCCGAGGATAAAGTCGTTTAAGTTCAGTAGCACTCTTAAAATATTTACTTTATCAATATCTTTAAGAAATATATATCTAATTAAATGTCCAGTTTTATCAATTAAGCTATCGAGAGATTTGTCAGTTCTCGTAAAAACTAAAATAGACCAACAAGATAAAATTATTTATAGAGTAAAAAATATTTTAATGCTTTGAATTATAGAGGCTCATAAAGACATAATATTTAATATTATCTTGTATACTTTATTTTATCGAGTTATATTTTTAATAATAGGGTAAATGCACCAATTATTAACCGATTAAGGTTTTCTTTTTCTGTACTAAGCTAGAAAAAATCTATTAACTTACTAAAAACAATTTGTAATGGATTTTATTAAAGTTAAATCAACCTCTAATTAATTAATTAAAACTCAAATATTCCTCAAATTGCCCCAATATTGATAATTATGTTACGTTTTTACTGCTTGGACATGCAAGCTTCAAATTTAGCATCCAAATATTTCCGAAACAGAAGTGTGCTATATCTAGATGTAAAATACACTGTTAATAAACGGCCTAGGTATTGCATGCCACAATTACAGATGGTAGAAAGAGTGTGACGTGCAATCATCAAACAATTCAATCAACTAATGGCTCATAACTTAACGCGTAACGTAGCAAAATGTCCCGGGAAATATAGATTTTTGTCGATTCGCAACAACAAATGTTGTCATGGATACTTTATATGTTATACTGTAATTTTATTACCTTCCTGGGTCACTAAGCTTTTAACTCTTGAAGAGAGCAGACGTTAAAATTCAAGCGAAATTGCGCAACTTGTTAAATATTTGAGTTTTATTATTACATTCGGTTAGATTAGTAATAATAACTCATTCAATAAAAAGCAATTTTATCGTGTCGAAATCAATTATAAGGCAAAAAATTATTTTGTGTTGTTTAATTGTTACAACTAAACATACAATATAATTTTAAATTGTACTTTTTTATAAAATAATATAAATTATAGCAATAATTAATTTTAGGTCACAAATAATCACAAATTCATTTTGATGACGATAATTCTTCTGATTCACTTGAAATTTTTTTATTCTTCTCCTTCTTTTTTTCAATTAAAACTTTTTTACTAGCTTGTAACTCTTTTTTATTTTTTTAATTGCTTAGCAATTTTTTCTTCTAATAATTCGTTCTTTGATATAACCGTTCACTAAAAAAATTAGAACAAAATAAAATTTAATAATCAAAAAAGATTTTAAGTATTATTTTAATTATAAATATACATTTTATAATGATTATTTTTATATTTACAAAATATTGAATGACTTAAGTACTTTAAACACTTGACAGATTTAATTTTGAGTTTAAGAAGTTAGTATTATAAATATACGGTGATTAATTGGATTGTGATAAAATCAGAGGGTCTAATAAATGACCGAATGAATTTTTTACTGGGTAAAGGGCTTCTGACGGATCCAAAAGTTGACCGGTCTTAAAATAATATTAAAACTTATAATTTAACTTTATTTTTTCAAAAAAGTTGGAATCTGATCTTTAATTGACATAATAAAATTAAAATATTTTATATTATGCCGATAAATATCACTAAATTGATGATGAAATGCACTCACTCTCCAATTGTACGCTAGTTATTTTTGACCGCTTTATGGCTGGTTGCGTTGTAAACAAACTCAGAATATTTTTTTAAAGCTATAATCACTGCGCAATTAGTTGCGTAATTTTTTATTATGATGATTAAATGCCATATATTTTTATTTTAATACTTTGAGAAAAAAAAAAACCCTTGTAAAATATTAATTAATTAACTTTTTTATACATCGGTCAACTAATTGGTGCATTTACCCTACATTTGAATATTTTTTTTTTTTTTTTCAGACAGTCCAACATGGATTTCCAAACAAGCCAACAGCCTTGGCTTGGGACCCAAGCTTAAGGCTGATGATAATCGGCACAGCATCTGGAGCTATCAAAGTGTATCCTTTTGTACCACATACATTTAGTATAATTTATTTATTTTTTTGTTAAATTGCACTGTAATTTCTTAAATATTGATGTTTTTAAAGATATAAGCTCATCCCGATGTTACAATTATCAAGACCTTTCATTTGAGTACCCACATCAATTTTTCATATATTTTACATATATACATATATATTATATATATAAATATATGAAATATATGAAAAATTGATGTGGGTACTCAAATGAAAGGGCTCAATGAGTGTGATCTAAGAATGAGCTTATATCTTTAAAAATGTTAATAGTTCACAAGATAGAAGGCCATTTCTTAATAACGTTAAATTGCACTTCACTTTCTTAACTCTTGATGTTTTTAAAGATACAAGCTCATCCCGATGTTACACTCATCAAGAGCTTTCATTTGAGTACCCATATGCATTTTTATATATTTTTCATATATTTATATATATAAATATATGAAATGTATGAAATATTGATGTGGGTACTCAAATGAAAGGTCTCGATGAGTGTAATGTCAGGATGAGCTTATATCTTTCATAATGTCAATAGTTCACAAGATACAAGGTCATTTCTTAATTAATAATTATTTATTAACATTATTGTTAATAAGTAGAATGAGAATTTACCCGGCGAAAGTTCACACATAAAACCTGGGTCGTTGTATTACATTTAGCGATATATCACCGCGAAATTTAGCGGCTGAAAGGAGAGGCGTGAATCTAAATTTAGACTCATATGTTTCGAAAAATAAAACCTAACTTTAAATTATTTTCATTACCACTTCTACATCTACTACTCATGCTAGTTTATTTATTAGTTTTTCTCTTCTTATTGAATAAAATTCATTTGCATTGTTAATTTTGATCACGTTTTGTGTACAATTAGTATTTGTAATGATAATGATATCATTATATGTATTTTTAAATTATCTGTATTGTATTTTATAATATTATGTTACAAGAGACACGAGTTAAGGAATAAAACATATGTACGCGGTACTTAGGTTTGAGAGACGCTGCTCATAATTATTCGTAGTGTAGTTGTTGGAGTAGAGTGAGAGTCGAATGACGCGAAAGCGCAACAATGTGTTTCATCCACGTATTTTTTATTATTTTTAATGCTTAAGCTTAATATCTTTTTTTATGATTACAATTATTAAGACTTAAGTTATTAATACTTAAGCTATTTATTTTAATTTAATTTAATTAATCTGCAATAATTAATTTTATTAGTTTTTTTTATTGATAATAATTATTGTAACTAATTTTAATTTTTTTAATCTATTTTTGGAATTAGTATGATCCTTAATTTAAATAAAACAGATTTGGAAGACCTGGAGTCGAATTTTATGGACAACATGCGACGGAGAGCGGAGAAATTGCAGTCACTAAAATTATACCTCTGCCAAATGAGGTAAAATCTGAGATTATATGATAGTAATCTCATTATAAATTAGTATTAAAAATAGTACTTATGCTTTGTAACTTGTATTTAATCTGTTAAAGACTAATATAACATTTCATCGCGATTCTTTGTTCGCAAGAATCGCAAGCTAACGGTAAATGTCCGGTTCACGTGACGTTTAAATTATAAAATACTTTCCGCTAGTCTATGCGTGTATTATTTTAAACATATATGTGTCAAAAATTTTTTTATGATTCTAATATCTATATATAATAAAAATAATACACATATAAAAATATATAAAACGGAGTTTTAAAATATTTAACTTTAAAACTAAATATTTTATTAAAAATTAGGTATTTAATTTTTTTCATATTTTTTAATGACAAATTAAAAAAATTTATTTATTAATAAATAAATAAATAAATTAATTTATTCAATTTATTTAGAAATTTATTAATAAATAAAATTTTTAAATTAATTAGTCATTCAAAAATTGAACAAATCAATTTTAAATAATTAATTCATTAAATAAAGTATAAATAAATTATTTTAATAATTAATTAATTCAATTTATTCTCAAATTTAGTAAAAAAAAAATTTGTAATTAATTCGTCATTTAAAAATTGAATGAATTAATTTTAAATATTTTATTCAAGCTATTGCAATAAATAATTATAAAAATTAAAATTAAATTCCAAATAATTGAAAAGTGTTGATATTAAAAACTTTTCTCAAGGCATGAGAATAAATTTTAATTGTTAAAATAAAATCCATAGTCTAAGTACATATTGTCTGATTGAGAATGAAGTTGGCGCGTGCGAGTATTCTCCCTGACAATAATAACAACGAAGCCTTAAAGGGGTGTTGTATGTTTGAGTGTTGTTTGTTTAAAGAATCACACGCGCAGAAACGCGATATCTCGCCTTACTTGACGTTCCGGTTGCAAGAATTCAGTACGAGTAAGGATTGCATAACTCAAAGGGACGCGAACATGCAACTCTGGTATATAATATACTACCATACACTAGGGACACGTTAATGTACAAGCATTCGAATGTTTACTATTGCAATCTCTCAAAGTAAGAGGAAAAAGGAGTAAATAAAATGTACGGAAAAAAAGATAATAGCAAACCGTGTATGAATGTCTGGATCGAGTAAAAAGTACGTTCATCCATGTGTTTAGATACGCACTGATGTGCATGACAGGCACACGTGCGATTAAAAGCCTATATCATTTTTTTTATATATTGTTTACTATATATACTGTAGTCTCATTTATTAAGTTATTCTTGCGGTATTCAATTTATAATTTATCGTATCATAATATTTACATTTTCTTTAATATTTTATTCGTACCGCATTGACGTCAGAGTAGTTTTATAGTATACTGATTTTTTAACTGGATAAGACTAATTAGATCGTTACATTTAGATTAACACATTTCTACTAGGTCAGAGAATAAAATTATGGGATTTTATTTAAGTTGAAAACACTGTAAATATTTATTTAATTATTTATACACTAGCAGCCTTGCAGTCACTAAGTGAATTATAAATAAATAAAATTTTACTTTATTAAATAATGAATTTTGTTAAATTACACTGTAATTTTTTAACTATTGATGTTTTTAAAAATATAAGCTCATCTTAATGTTACTCTCATCAAGAGCTTTTATTTGATTACCCACATCAATTTTTCATATATTTGTCGTATATATAATATATATAAATATATGAAAAATTGATGTAGGTACTCAAATGAAAGGTCTTGATAAGTGTAACATTGAGATGAGCTTATATCTTTAAAAATTTCAATAGTTCACAAGATACAAGGTCATTGTTTAATAACGTTAAATTGCACTGTACTTTCTCAATTATTGACATTTTTAAAGATATAAGCTCATTCCGATGTTATACTCATTAAGACCTTTCATTTGAATACCCACTTGCATTTTTGATATATGTTTCATATATACAAATATATAATATATATATAAATATATAAAATATATGAAAAAATGATGTGGGTACTCAAATGAAAAGTCTTGATGAGTGTAACATCGGAATGAGCTTATATCTTTAAAAATGGCCATAATTCACAAGATATTTGTTAAATTGCACTATACTTTCTTAACTATTGACATTTCTAAAGATATAAGTTCATCCCGATGTTAAACTTATCAGGAGCTTTCATTTGAGTACCCACATGCATTTTGATATATTTTTCATATATACATATATATAAATATATAAAATATATGAAAAATCGATGTGGCTACTCAAATAAAAGCTGTTAATGAGTGTAACATCAGGATGAGTTTATATCTTTAAAGATGTCAATAGTTCACGAGATACAAGGTCATTTTTTAATTATGTAATTAGAGATAGATCATTTTCAAATACAGACTAAATACTTACAAATTTAATTTAATTTTTTTTTTAATTAATAAATTAAATAAATACTATTATTAATTTACTTACTAAATTTTCTTATTCCAGGGCCGAGTGGTATCTCTATGCGATGACAACTCATTACATCTGTGGGAAATTAATGAAAATTCCCTTGTTGAAACCAAGTCACTATCGCTGGAGGGTAAATTAAAAAAAATCTCCGCCATGTGTCTTGAATCAAGTGGCGAGCATCTGTTACTCGGTACCGAAGGTGGAAATATTTATCTACTTGACGTAAAAACATTTACAATGACAGACAATATAATCTATCAAGACGTAGTAATGCAAAAGTAAGTTATCAACATTTAAATTCAACATAAAAAATTAAAAAAAAAAAAAATCAACAAGTACTTACATTTTAAAAAAATAACTATTACAGCGTTCCGGAAGATTATAAAAAAAATCCCGGCGCAGTGGAAGCTATCGCCGAGCAGCCAGGACACCCTGACAGCATCTTGATTGGTTACAATCGAGGATTGATGGTTTTGTGGAACAAAGCCACTCCTGGAGCTCAGCAGGTAAGAAAATTTATCTATAAAAAAAGAAAATAGGTAGTTAGATTAATTAACAATTATTAATATAAATATTAAGTAATACTATTAATTCGCTTAAAATTCTTACTGTTTGTGTCTGGTGGATTGGCGAACGTGTGAGTGCAGCTGATGGGTTTGTTTTCCCGTGCGCAGACATTCATATCAGCCCAGCAGTTGGAGTCAGTTCACTGGGTCTCTGAGAATAAATTTGTCTCTTCTCACAACGATGGGTCTTACGCCTTTTGGAGTCCTGGAAGCGACAATACCTCGGAACCAACAACTCTGTACGGTCCATTCCCGTGTAAAGCTGTCTCGAAAATTCTTGTCTACACCCTGTCAGAGTAAGCACAATTTTTGAAGTTATACTTCTTTTGGCGCGTTAGGCAAAAATGATGAGGGTAAATTTTTACGATGCGCGCGCACACCGTCACGAAAAACCGACATGATGAAGTTAGCTATAAGTCAACATTTTAGTTTTTCTAAAAAAGGTACCAACAAAGTAAAAAGGACATCTACGTATGTTTGTGCGTGAGAACTGACAACTGTATTCACAATATTTATTTATTTAAGTGTTTCTGAACCTACCACACGTGTTTTGTATCAGTCCGAATAAAATCCTATATACTAAAATTGATGGTAGAATGAAGTTAGCTTAGTATCGAAAACATGGACTCTGAATCCTTATTGGTTAAGATTAAGGCGCGCGCGTAGCGCGCTATTCAAATTTCTAGTATATAAAAATATACATAAATATATATATTTTCTCAAAAAACATTATAATATATTATAATAGTTTTTACATATTCCTTTGAATACGTTTATAGAATTTGGGGTTAGTTGACGGTATATATTATTTATGTACATCATAAACTAAAATAAATTTTCACATTCTTATTTAATGTCTGATAAGTTTATAATTAAATTAATAAATTAATAATAGATACAAATAATAATAATATTTCATTCCGAAAAAATTAAATTATTCTAAATATATATTAAATTTAATTAAATGTTTCTTTCTTAAAGTAATCTTAAAATTTTTAATAATAAAATTTATCGTCAGATTGTCCCATACACAGTACAACATGACGATAGTATCAAAATAAATTTTAATAAATATTTGGAACACACTAATAAACTTAATCGAATAATCAAATCAATCACAGCGAGAAATAATTAAAAAAAAAAAAACAATTTAAAATAAATTTTTAAAAAGATTTTTATCTTGTTACACCAAAGAAGTATAACTTCTAACGCGTGTACATAAGTACACACACTTTTTTTTTTTTTATTTTTTAGCAAAAACTATTTTCACATTTTATATAAATGCAGAGATAATTTAAAAATTTATCTTCCTTCATAATGAGTGTCATTCGTTCCACAGCGATGACGAAATTATTTTATTCTCCGGTGGAATGCCGCGTTCGAGTTACGGCGATCGACACACTATCACGGCGATGACAAAAACCAAGCATGTAGTCTTCGATTTGACGTCCAAGGTGATCGACTTTTTTGTCGTTACGCCCAAGGTTGATGAAGACAGCAAAGAGTCAAAATCTCCAGAAGCGCTGATTATCCTCGCAGAAGAGGAAATTATCGCAATTGATCTTACTGATCCTGATTGGAAAATGATGGCTTTGCCTTATCTAGTTTCACTTCACGCCAGTGCGGTAAGATATTTTATTTATTTACTAAAATTAGCAGTCTTGATCATTTTTTAATTTTATTAAAAAAAAAATTATTCTTAAAAAATTGAATTCTTTATTTTTTTTAATTTCTAAATGTCAATTTAAAAAAATTTTATTTTCGCTATAATTTGTTAAAAAAATTATTAAAATGATCAAATATCTGCTAAATTAATTTTTATAAATCTACCTATGCCATTAAAGTTAGCAGTCTTGACAATTTTTTCATTTTTTTTTAACAAACAAATTTGTTTTGAAAAATCGTTGAGAAAATTGCATTTTTTATTTTTTAAAATTTCTACATGAAAATTTTTTTTGCCATAATTTATTTGTTAAAAAATTTAATAAATATCTTAAATTAATTTTTATTAAAGTTAGCAGTCACTTGACAATTTTTTTATTTTATTAAAAAATAAATCATTTACAAAAAATTGTTTTTCAAAAAATTGCATTTTTTATTTATTAAAATTTCTGTCAATTTAAAAAAAAAAATTTTTTTCTATAATTTATTTGTTAAAAAAATTATTAAATATCTGCTAAATTAATTTTCATAAATCTATGAAATTAAAGTTAACAGTCTTGACAATTTTTTATTTTTATTTTCACGATTTTCACCAAACAAATTTGTTTTAGAAAATCATTAAAAGAAAAAATTGCATTTTTAATTTATTAAAATTTCTACATGTCAATTTTTTTTTTTGCTATAATTTGTTAAAACAATAAATAAAACGATCAAATATCTGCTAAATTAATATTTTCAAACTAAATTTTATAATTATCTCCAAACATCTTATGAAATAAATTATTCTTTAGGTAACATGCTCGCAACACGTGCCGAACGTCCCCTCAGACTTATGGGATTCAATAATATCCTCCGGAAAATCCCAAACAGAGCATTTATACTCCAACAAAGAGTGGCCAATAGACGGTGGAATTTTGCTGTGCAAAAAACCACTCGAAACTGACAAACCAAGCTTCCGCGAACTATTGCTCACCGGTCACGAAGACGGAACGATCCGATTTTGGGATGCTTCTGACGTCGCGCTAAGACCCCTATACAAATACAACTCATCTTTAATTTTCACTGGTGAGCATCTGGACGTCCTCGAGCAGTCTCAAGAAGATGAAGAAGACGAGTGGCCGCCTTTCCGAAAAGTCGGGACATTTGACCCCTACTCAGACGACCCACGTTTGGCAGTAAAGAAAGTGATGCTCTGTCCGCTTTCCTCAACCGTGGTAGTCGCGGGTACTGCGGGTCATATTATCACCGCAAACATATCATCGGAGGCGACAACGAAGGAGATAAAAGCCGTGACGATGAACATTGTAAATGATCGCGACGGGTTCGTGTGGAAAGGACACGACCACTTGCCAGTGAGAACCGAGTCTGTTTTATTTGGCGTAGGATTTCAACCACAGAGCTTAGTCCAGCTGTACCCTCCGGCCCAAGTAACAGCACTTGCTATCCACAGCGAGTGGGGATTGATTGCAGCAGGTACTGCTCATGGATTGGCAGTTTTTGATTACCTAAGAAGAAAGCCTGTTAGTGTAAAATGTACTTTAAATCCAAATGATTTGTCCGGATCTGGAGATACTCCAATTTCCAGAAGGAAGTCATTTAAAAAATCATTGAGAGAGTCTTTTAGGAGACTGAGAAAAGGTCGCTCGCAGCGGCGACCAAATACAAATGCAAATACAAGTCCCACGCGGAACACGATAATAACCGCGGAAAAAAAGAAAGAAGCACCCGTAGCAGCCTCCCCAAGCGGGGATTTATCTCCAGTGGATATAAAACCAGTCGAACGACAAGTAGAAGCCCGTCCAGTGGACGACGCTTTGGGTTCAATGGTCCGTAGTGTTTATTTTGCTCGCAGCTTTATTATCAGCATGCAAAATACAACACCAACTCTTTGGGCAGGCACCAACAACGGTACTGTCTACGTATTCACGTTGGGTATTCCTCCAAGCGCTAGGCGGAACGAAGACGACGTTAATTGCACTCTTGGAAAAGAAATACAATTGAAGCATCGCGCTCCCGTGATTGCTATAACGATACTAGACGGGTCAAATGTTCCACTGCCGGAACCATTCGAGGTGGAAAAAGGCGTAACTACTGGACCGGACATGACCGCTCCTCATCGGGTTGTCATTGCCAGCGAAGAGCAATTCAAGATATTTAATCTACCTTCGCTGAAGCCGTTTTGCAAGTACAAGCTTACGGCTCATGAAGGTTCAAGAGTCCGCAAAACTGGTTTTGCCAAGTTCACGTGCCCTATTGAACCCTCCGGGACTCACGAAGAGACCTGTCTTCTTTGTTTGACTAATCTGGGGGATTGTTTGGTGCTTGGGATCCCGGAACTCAGGAGACAGATCAATGCTGCTGCGATCAAGAGGGAGGATATCAATGGCATTTCTTCATTGACTTTTACTAAATCTGGAGAAGCGCTTTATCTTCATTCTAGTTCGGAGTTGCAGCGTATTTCTGTGTCTGCTACTAAGAGTACTAGAGCACACTGTGCCTTAAATTTACCACCCAATGCAAGGTCAGTTCCTGAGCCTCCAACGCCTACTGAGGAAGTTCAAGATGAAGTTGTTGTTGTTGAGGCTACGGCTGAGAAAGAAACTGAGGCGCAGGATAATGAGAGTACACCCGTGCCACGAATTGTTGAAAATGGCGTTGGATCAAGTAAGTTTTTTTTTTAATTAAAAAAAAAAAAAAAAAAAAACAGATTTTTTATGTTTGGCTTATCTCAAGTGTTACTAAAAAAATTCACAAGTGCTTGGCATCCATAAAATACTAATTTATAACATGCCTTTTGTATTGTTAATTTTGCATTTCAATCAAAATAGATTTCCTGTCAATAGAATTAACAAAAAGAAAATAGGATTAGTTACTCCCGAGTGAGCAGAGCAGATTAATAGGAACTGAAAATAATGAATGATAATTAAATTTCGCAACTTTAAAACTTTTAGCACATAGCGGTGAAACGTCGAAAGACTCAACGTTGAGACCTGGAGTCAGCACCAACGATGTTAATGGTGATGATGACCGACAAGATCGCAGTTCAATTGGCGACATTACTATTGACAGTGTTAAGGATCATTTACTGTAAGTAACAATAAGTACTTTATATTACAGTAGAGTCTTATTAGTCTTATTATGAGTCCTATTTGTTTTCATGTTTTTTTTTTTTTAACCAGACTCGCGTTAATATAAGAGAGACATTAAGAGGGCTCATAACGCGACTCGACTGTACTTTAGCAAGCTTTTTAAGATTTATTTAATATTTTTATTTATTTTGCCTAATTATTATCGTTGCCATGCTCTGGCAGTAACAGTTCACTTTTCAGAAATGCGACTTCTTCAGACGATCTACATAATCGACTAGCTGGGTTAAAAATGGAAGTCACGTCACGTACATCAGAAATATCGACACAAAATCAATCGCTGGTTGTTAAAACAACTACTGTAATTTCGCAGACTTCTAGCAATGGAACTACCAATGGTGACGTTGAAACGACAGAGACCAGTGAATCCGAACAAGTGAACAGTAAGTTCTAATTTTCTCGGATTAAAATAATAGTAGTGACATTTACTTGAATTATAATTAAAAAAATTTTTTTTTTTTTTAATAATTACGTAAATGTCAGTAGTTTATAATATGAAAATTAATTTAGTAGATATTTGATAATTTTTTTAACAAATAAATTATGGTAAAAGGCGCGCAGTAGCCTATCGGATCCGGCCCTTGCTACCAAAGCATTGGACCGGGTTCAAATCCGGCGTACACCAATGAATATTTTCAATAGTTTACCCCCTACCGTAGTCGCTCATGATCTTAGTAGTTTATGCGATTTTAAACAAATTAAAAAAAAAAAAAATTATGGTAAAAAAAATTGACTTATAATCATTTTTAAAAATTACAAATGTAATTTTTTTAAATAATTTTTCTGAAAAAATTTATTTGTTGAATAAAATTAAAAAATTATCTAACTTTATTGTCATATTTATAGTACTCCATTATTTTTTTATTTAGTATTCCAGTCACTATTTTTTTAATAGTATCAAAACTAGCATATTTTATAAACCTGTACAATAATTTTAATTTTATTATTTTATTTATATAATTTATTCATAAAATAGGCACTTCAATAGAACGAGAAATACGCAGTGGTACTGAAACAACAACAACGCATGCTACTATTACACTTCCACCAAATGTAGAGGTCAGCTCATTTTTAATTAATTTTATTTATTTATCAATTAATTAATTAATTAATTAATTAATTTATTTGTTTATTTCTGAATAAGTTATTTTTATTTTTTCATTTAATATACACCCTCAACTTTATTGCTTTTGCTGTGTCTTCACTTATGTGTTGTCTGACATATTTGTACTTTATAAATACAAAAAAAAAATAAATAATACTGATTTATTTTACAGATTAGTGCAGCCGATCTCGCAAATTTGGAAACTGTTCAAACCACTACAATAACAACAGAAAAATCTAAAACACCAGTGACAAGATCCGAAGAAGTTAGATCTTAAATATAAATAAAAAATGCTTCCATATTACAAAAACGAACCAATTTTTCCTTTTAAATAATGAAAATATTGTACAGTGCTATCACATAAATGCACAGGAGACACTGACAGCAGGACAAACAAACCCCGAACTGATAAGTGAACAAAAGTGTGTACACATACGATAGATAGAATTTATACACCAATAGATTATATTTAAAATATTGAAAAAAAAGTCTAGATTTATACGCGAGTATAGTATTACATTGTAGGCAATAGCGTTTTAATTCTAACGCTGAATATTTTCATTTATTTTTATTCAAGTACTCATTACCATTTTTTTTTATAATTTTATTTTTATTGTTAGAGTATCAAATACTTTAATTACTCTCACCACGGCCTATATCGCCTTGATATAATTTTGCATTTCATTGACTTGAATTTTAAAAGTTGATTATTTTCTAGATCAGTATTTTTAAAAATTTATAGCAGCTAACATGCTTTTTATTCAGTGACTTGTTTTTAATTATTAACTTGGTATATTTTAAATAGATTAATTATTTTATACAATAAGATTTTAAATAAACGAAATGCAGGAATTTAAAACATTGAATTGAACAAATACAATACAATAAATTTACTAACGAACCACAAAATTTAAGCAAAAATATAGGATTAAAAAAATGTATATTTTTTATTCATGTTGCTTAATAATTAAGTCTCATTTTTTCTACACTTAAAAAATATAAAATGTATTTTAACGAATTTATAATTTACTAAGAAAAATTTTAAATTATCACCGTACATATTTACATTGCAAATAAATGTAATGAATTCACCAATTTCGATAGTAATCAAGAAGTTACTAAGACAATTATTCGCACTATAAATTGTTTAGCTTCCACTTATGCTTATAATATTTTTTTTTACTATATATTATTTTTTTTATGTTAATTTACAACAATATGATTTTATTTGAAAAATAAAAACTTTTCTGTTGAAAATTTAATTGGACTTAATGATTGGGGCCTTTAATAGATAGATAATAATTTAATATCTAGCCAATCAGGTCCCTAATTACTAAATTAATTGTTGGTGTAATATATTAATGATAATAATTGATAATATTAAATGAATTGAAATTAATTAACACTGCCCAGCTAAGTACATAAACATTTTTGTAACTATTTAATGACTACCTGTTGTAACAACATCACTTTTACATTAAATGCTTACCTTTTATTATCTGTAATTCTTTACTAACAATATTTAGTATTAAGACTTTAAATATTTTTTAATAATAAATTTATGAGAAATTCAATAAATTCATTATTTTTTATTTTATAATATTGAACCTTTTCTTTTGAATTTTTGATTTAGAAAATAATTTTTTTTACTTACCTTACCATTAAAGAAGTATATTTTTATTATTATACATCTTGATAATGTTAAAAAAAAGATGATATTTAATTTTTTTTAATGTATAAATTATAATAAGAAAAATTGATTTCAAAAATTCTAGCTCTAAAAATTTATAAATGTTATTTTTTTTTAATAATTTTCTAGATCTAGTTTATTTTAAAAAAAAAAAATTGTCAAGTGTCTGCTAATTTATGACATTAATTTTGATTATTTTTTAGTTTTTTTTGACAAATAAATTTGTTCCAAAAAATTGTTTTTAAAAAATTGTATTTTTAATTTCTAGATGTCAATTTTTTTGCTACAATTTAAAGAATATTAATTTAGCAGGTATTTAATAGTTTTAATGACAATAAATTATGAGAAAAAAATAAAAATTGACATATAAAAATTTTTTAAAAATAAAAAATGCAATTTTATAAAAAATATTTTTTCAGAACAATTTTGTAAGTAAGAAAAATTAAAAAAATAATTATATAAATACCTAATAATATTAAAGTCAGCTGTCACTTGACAGTTTTTTAATTTTATTTAACAAAAAAATTTGTTCCAAAAATATTATTTTTAAAAAATATCATTTTTAATTCATCAAAATTTCTACCAGTCAACTTTTTTCATTTTTTTTTTATGAAAATAAAGTTAGGTAGCCGACATCTAAAAATTTTAATGATTTTTTTTTTATTAAAGAATTATTACAAAAAACTAAAAAAAATTTTTTTCATTTGTTAAAAACTTTAAAAACTATAAGTGCAATTTTTTAAAAATATTTTTTAGTTATAATTTATAATAAATTAAGCAAAATTAAAAAATTAAAAATGTCGGCTAACTTAATTATTATTGTTTTTTTTTTTGGCTATAATTTATTTATTAAAAAATTTCTCAAACATCTGCTGAATAAATGTTTATAAATACCTTTTAAATAACTTCCCAAGCTAATTTAAATCTCCTAAAAAATGACAGTAACTAAAAACGTATTTTAATTTTAAATGAACGGCCATAAGTCACATGTCACCTTTAGTTAAAAAAACCGCCGCCGTCGCTAAAGTCGCCAAAAGATGGCGCTAAATCCCCAAAAGAGAGCAGCACACTCTTTGAGGAGAAAGAAGAGAAATAATACTGTTCATGTCCATGAGTACACGAGCGGAAGCGCGATCAAAGATGGAGATTTCGGTCCCCCCGACCCTCTAAAGCGGTATTCGTAGAAACTTGCGCTGTTGAACGACGACACGCGGACCCGAAGGGCATCAAGGTACGCGCACGTTGCTCGGCCAGCACGCGGCCAACTGGTGCACCAGGATGGAGCTCCGCGTCGGCAGCAGGTACCGACTCGGACGTAAAATCGGGAGCGGCTCCTTCGGCGACATTTATCTAGGTAACTATGACTTCCTTGGCAGGCTCCTTTCCCCTCCTCCGCTATTGTCTCCATATTCTCTCCTCTCTCTCTTTCTCTTTCTCTCCCCAATTAACATCTTATCTTCCATAATAATATTTTGTCAATAATAACAAAATTCTTATTTCATAATATCAATCCTCCTCATCCACCACGTATACATTTTTCCTATAACAATTCTCTGCCATAATAATAACAATAATAATAATAATAATAATAACCATAATGATAATAGTGATACTAATACTAATAATATATACTGTTGTTTAATAACTGCCCTCCTATCCATCCGAGTAGTTTGTTGCTACCCCACCGCCTAGTCTACGGCTCAGTCCTCAGTCTCATCACTCTTTTTCTTTGTTACATTAGGCACAAACATCTCGACAGGCGAAGAAGTCGCCATCAAGTTGGAATGCATAAAAACACGACATCCACAGTTACACATAGAATCAAGATTCTACAAGATGATGCAGGGCGGTGGTATGTACATACTCCAATCAACAACCAGACAAACGACAACAAACCAGTTGTTGCCATACGAATACCCCTTTTTTAAAAAAAACATCATGTCTCTTATCATATCACTACCCCATGACATAAGCTATAGCTTATTACTATTATTACCCCTATTTTTAAATATCCAAATTACTATTTTAATAATATTATTTTTACCCTCTGAAATACAGTTGGAATTCCTGCTATAAAATGGTGCGGTTCGGAAGGTGATTATAATGTTATGGTGATGGAATTGTTAGGACCATCACTTGAGGATCTTTTCAACTTTTGCTCTAGGCGGTTTACGCTAAAGACAGTCCTACTACTCGCTGATCAAATGGTGAGTCATCAAATTATTTTTTTAGAACTTCTTAAATTTAGTTGAATTTTTTAATTTTCTTTAATAAAAAAATTGCATTTTTTATTTTTTTTTTGCCATAATTTATTTGTTAAAAAATTTGATAAATATCTGCTAAATTAATTTTTATTAAAGCTAACAATCACTTGATAATTTTATTATTTTTATAAATAAATTTGTTCAAAAAAACTATTTTTAAAAAATTGCTTTTTTTTTTATTTTTATAAAATTCTGTCATTTTTTTGCCATAATATACTTATTAAAAAATTTAATAAATATCTGCTAAATTAATTTTTATTAAAGCTAGCAGTCACTTGATAATTTTTTTACTTTAACAAACAAATTTGTTCCAAAAAATTAATTTAAAAAAATTGCATTTTTTATTTTTTTTTTTAATTTCTGTCAATTTTTTTTGCCATAATTTATTTAATAAATATCTACTAAACTTTTTTTAAAGCTAGAAGTCACTTGACAATTTTTTTATTTTAATAACCAAGTTTGTTCCAAAAAATTATTTTTAAAAAATTGCATTTTTTGTTTTTAAAATTTTCTACATGTCAAATTTGACAAAAAAATAGTATTATTAAATATTTAATATTACACTCTGGGTACTTTTTCTAATTTACTTTAAAGTAAATTTAATTATTAAAAAAAAAAATGTTATTAATATTTATTAAATTTTTATTGTCACTTAATTAATTCAAATTTTACCAACGAGTTATGCTCTACTTAATTTTACATCCAAGTGGGTCATGCTAGTTTTACACCGTCGCCATTTACAACGAGTTTTGTAAGCTTTAAAAATTGTAATTCTTACAACGTGCTAAACTTGTAATGTTTTTATTTTTATTTTTATTTGAATAAATGTAAATGCCTCCGTTTTTATTATTACGGAAAATGCTTCTTAGTTATTTTTAAAGCAACACTCCATAAGTTAATAAATCAATCTACAAATATTTATGTATGTTTATCATTGTTTACATAATTAAAAACAAGGTTATTGACATTAAAATAAGAGTAAATATTCTTGTTTTCAAACAGAGTTATCTTGTATTTATTCAAGAATTTAGCGATGTTGCAAACAATTAATTTTATTACAATCATTAATAAAATTAATCTCTTGTTACTCATTTTTTTTAAATAAATAATTATTTATTTTTCAGATAAGCAGAATCGACTTCATTCACAGCCGTCACTTTATTCACCGCGATATAAAACCCGATAACTTTCTAATGGGATTAGGAAAAAAGGGTAATCTCGTGTACATTATAGACTTTGGACTCGCGAAAAAATATCGCGATGGTCGTACTCACAGGCATATACCTTACCGAGAAAACAAGAATCTTACTGGAACGGCTCGGTTAGTATCTAATTAATTAGTCATTGTCATTATTTATTTTTCTGTTGAATTAGTCTTAATTATTTTTGCTGGTATTTAAAATAAGTATCGGTGAAATTAACCCAGAAAAAAACGTGATATATTAACTCGATTAAGATTTAGATTTAAACGGAGAAATTTATGGATTTATTCAGTCGAATTTATTTATTTTACTTTTGATAGATTTAATATTTGGTTTTTACTATTCTAAGACTTATTTTATTTTTTATTTGGTAACTAAGATTGTATTATTTTAGGAAATAATTATTTAATACTGATCATGATGTATTTATAGCACTTTTAAGCTTATTAATTTAATAAACAATTGTTATAGGTACGCAAGTATAAATACACACATGGGAATTGAACAATCACGGAGAGATGATCTCGAATCATTAGGTTATGTGTTTATGTATTTTAACACGGGTAGTTTACCGTGGCAAGGATTAAAATCAGCTACTAAGAGACAAAAATATGAACGGATATCCGAGAAAAAAATGTCGACGTCGATTGACGAACTTTGTAAAGGATTTCCTGGTAATTATTATTTTTTTTTTTTTTTTTTTTTTTTTTTTTTTTAATTTTTTTGTAGTCTTAAATGTAAAAATTTATTTTAGAGAAAAAAAAATTTTTTTTTAAAAGATTTAAAATAAAATTAAAAAAATATTAATTTTAATAAATTAAAAAAAAAAAAAAATTTTATTTAATAAATTAAAAAAAATTTTAATTTTAAAAATAAAATTGACAATTGAATGATTTTTTTTTTTTGCAGTTGAGTTTGCTAAGTACCTGAGGTACTGTCGACAAATAAGATTTGAAGAGCGACCAGACTACTCATATCTCCGGCAGCTATTTCGCACGCTTTTTCACCACGAAACTTTCACCTATGATTATGTTTTTGACTGGAACATGCTCAAGTTCGGTAATGTGAGGCAACAAGCTTTACCAGCGGCACAGCAGGCACCTACACACTCTCAACCTGTTAATGTTCCGCTGTCATCGGGAACAAATAACGAGCAAGAGCACCCCTCTAGGTCAGTATTTTAATAATAATAATTATTATTATTATTTCAAGTATGAGTATTAATGTTTATGGTAGAATAACTCGATTTATCCCTGATGCCGGCGAGGTTACCAGCTAAAGCTTAGGCGTTTTATAAATAGCCGTGTCGCGTTCGAAATCTATTTTAATCTTGGGTCAATGCATCGCCAATGAGTACGCGAATCAGATGTATTTGATACATAGCCTAGCTGACAATTAATCAGACGTAAATATTAAGGTTAATTAATAATATTGTTATCAATAGTTCAGGTGTGAAATATAATTTCACGCTTAAATGGTATTTGATAACAATAATAAATAAAATTTATTTATTATAGAAAATTTTATTAAAAAAAAAAATCATTAATTAGCATTAATTAATACTTTACTTGGAAAAAATTATTATTATTATTTATTTATTTATTTAAATACAACCAAACCCAACAGCCGTAGCCATTAACAGGGTTAATAATTTTTACAAAGTTATTATTTTAAAATTATTTTAGTAGTAATGACAAGATAACCAAGAAAGTTAAATAATAAATTCAGATTGTAGCAATCACTTCATAGCTACTTATGATTATACATTATTATTAAAAGTCAATTATGTTAGACTCTTTACAATTAATATAATAATAATAATAATAATTATAATAACCAGAGAGCTTACTATAAATAAATACAATTTTGCTTGATTAAATAATGACTTTCGTTAAATTGTACTGTACTTTTTTAACAGTTGACGTTTTTTAGTATATAAGCTCATCTTGGTGTTACATCCATCAAGAGCTTTCATTTGAGTACCCACATGTATTTTTGATATATTTTTCATATATACATATATATATAATAAATATAAATATATAAAATATATGAAAAATTGATGTGGGTACTCAAATGAAAGATCTTGATGAGTGTAACATCGGGACGAGCTTATATCTTTAAAAATTTCAATAGTTCACAAGATACAAGGTCGTTTCTTGATTACGTTGCATTGCACTGTACTTTCTTAAATATTGATATTTTTAAAGATATAAGCTCATCTTGATGTTACATTCATCAAGAGCTTACATTTGAGTACCCACATGCATTTTGATATATTTTTCATATATACGTATATATGATATATATAAATATATGAAATATATGAAAAATTGATGTGGGTACTCAAATGAAAGGTCTCAATAAGTGTAACATCAGGATGAACTTATATCTTTAAAAATGTCAAGAGTTCACGAGATACAAGGTCATTTCTTAATTAAGTATCTAGAGATAGAGCATTTTCGAATGCAGTCTAATTACTTATAAATTGAATTATAAGTTTATAATTACAAGAATAAAATTGATAGCTATAATAATAATCTATACCGTAGATTTACCAGATAAATAAATATATATTTTACTGAGTTACAGGATTTACACGCGTCAGTGTCTTGCAAATGCATCGGGTACAGCAGGTGGACCAACGGTAAGCACCTCGGGACGTCGTCAGAAGCACGAGACGGAGCAAGAGGAGCAAGATAAAAGCGATCTTCAAGGTAAAATACAATTCTACCAAAAGTTGTGCGCTAGCCAGCAGCAGGCAATCGCCGATCGTAGGAATGCGACAACAACGGCAAGCGGTGTGTCGCAAACAGTTAACCACGATCCAGCTGGTACAGCACCAAGTGCCTTTAGATTCAGCACATTCAAATCCGCGCCGGGTAATAAACCACCACCCGATCCTAACTCACCCGAGTCACTTGACTTATCAGGTCTCGGGTTGGGCCACCGCGATATTGTAACTCGTAGTAGGGCTGAGTATAATTCTGGAGGTTCACGTGATTGTTACCAATCAGGTGCTCCTCGTCTTCCGGAGAGAAGCACCAACGCGGAAGCTCATCGTATGGACAAACAGAGTTATTTTTTTCATGGGCATAAAACTCAGAAAAACGTAGAAAAAAATTATAATTCTGAGTTTAACGAGAATGCGGATGCAGCCAAATCCCAAGCCACTGAAATTCTTCCATTGCAATTTGATTATAATTTTTTACCCAAAAAAACTGACGATGCTTTTTTCAAGTACCGCAACCAGATTAGTCACGCTAATGATGAGTCAAGTCAGGTAAATATTGAGTTTACCGAAAGAGAGGGTGAGTTTTTTAAAAAAAGCAGCACTGAGTTACTTCAAGCGACTGCTACAACAATTAAACAAAGAACATTTTCATTTCGCAGCAAAGATAAAGTACACAAAAGTCTCGAGTCTTTAGATCCAAATCCAGATTACGGGAATTTGGACGCTAAAAGCCTCGATAATTTTCCCGACGAGACCGCCAAGCTGTCATTCTGTCACAGCAAGCAGCACAGCCTTGATTCAGCCCAAAAAAATAATGACTCCTCAACTGTTAAACGCAAAAGACCGAATTTCTTTCAACGTGTTGGACGCAGTCTACATTTTTTACCCCGAGACAAAGAACGCACGCAAGATTTATTGAAGCAGAGCTGCTGTGAGCAAACAGAAAGTATAAAAAAAGATAAAAATGATGATGATAATAATAAAGATAAGAATGAGTATTTTTTGCGTAAACAACAGGACAGCAATTTTTTTGAGGCTGCTGAGGTGTTTAATACTAAGAATGATTTTTTTTATGATAATCGCCCGAAACGAGAACCATTGTTCCAATTCAAGGGAAATGAATTGAGCAACAATTTTGTGACGGGCGATTACAAAACACGTAAGACTGCTGCCGAAGAACAAGATAATGATAATGATAAATTAAGTTTTAATACTCACGAAACTACCAGCGGTAATAAGGACAGTTTAGAAATCGGGTACTCGATAAGCCAGCTAGGGAGATTGTATATACAGAATATACAAAATCAAGGCGACCAATTGGGCCCTAATGAAATTACTGATGGGCAAAAAAATTATCTGGACTGGATCCCAAGAACTGATTTGGATGTACTTAGTCATGTTGATTCGTTCAAACGCAAGCCCCAGGGGAATATGGATATTCTTAAAGGGATTTTGCTTGATATATTTGTCTGTATCTGCATTTGAGTTAAACTTGTTCAGTACCGCGTTATTTTTTAATCTTCTATCGTTATTGTCTTTAAATCGTTTATAACTCGTCGATATATTAAGATTCTTTTCAGTCGTATTTTTCTTTTTTTTCTACGTCCGTTTGCATTCACCATTTATTGGTTTTAGTTTTAAACTTTATTTTATATTTTAAGGCATATATATATTCCTATTGAAAAGTATATATGGGTTTGAGGAGGTCCTATCGCTTTTTATTCATTTTTTAAATATCTATTTTATCAAAATTACGGATTTTTTATAAAATATTTTTTAAATAAGAGTACAAATATATATCAGAAATATATTTTTCATACAATTTAAAGGTAATTATTTACAAGTGGGGTTAATTTTATTTTGGGCTATAATTAGGTGAAAAATTAACATTTTTTAATTTTTTCACGGCGTATTTGTGATTAAAAATGCCGTAAAAAAAAAAAAATAAAGATTTGGTAGCTTTTTTTTGCCTCAAAAAGTTGGAAAAAATTTTGTCTTTTATATTTTTGGATAAAATTTCTATTTTATGTTTTTGATAAATATTTTTTTTTTTAAAGTACATAAAAAAAAATTTAATATCACAATTTTCTAAAAAATTTATAAGTTTTTTTGAATTAACTAATTATAAATTTTTTTTTAAATTTGTTAAAATTGTAATAGTTGATTTTTCATTTTTTTTTTTTATGTATTTTTCAAAAAAAAAAATATATCAATATAAATCAAATAAAAATTTCATTTAAAAAAATGATTGACTCCACTTGTAAATATTTACCAAAAAATATTTTTAATAAAAAATTTTTTTACTAAAATCTAGATAACAATATTTTTATACATAAATTAAAGCGCGATTAGACCTCCTTAATGATTCGCAATGCAATTTTTTTCTCATTAACTTAATGTAGCTCGGTTAATTAATGAATTATTTTTTAATAATTTTAAGATAAACGCTAAATGCGTACACGAGTCATGCCAAACTTACCGATTGACAATAATATGTATTAGTTACAAACTTTTTGTACATACCATCAAATTTATACACTTAAGCTTTACAAAACTCGAATTTTTGAATCTCTGAAAAAAATTTTAATTAATTAATTAATTAATTAAAAAAGATCTTTGTTTTAAACTTAGTTTTAAACTTCAATCAATGCGATTTGATTTAATGTGTTCTTTTTACTGCCTATTATTATTATTGACAACTCATTTATTTAAATGATTATATTACACGATAATATTAATAATAATGAATAAAATACTCTTCATGGACTGAATAGCCTACGACTCGGTAAAACGTATATTTTTAATCAACTACTTACTATAAAAAAAAAAAAAAAATAATTAATATCCATGTCTTATTATCACTCACATTTAATAAGTTCATTAATTGTATAATTAAATGAGTGGAGCTGGCTGGAGGACAATAGCTGTAATTATTGACGCTTTAATTATTTAAACCAATGTCAGAAAATAAAATTAACACTCAGGTAAATTGATTTTTAAAAAAAAACCTCCAGCTTTCTTTTCATAAAAAAAAACGTGTTTCTTTCGTCTTTATTTTGCCCATTTATTCATCGTCTTCATATCATCTATGTAAAATGACTGTTTTTAAGGATGATTAAAAGAAGGTAGAAATAAATGTTTTTCCATTCAAGGACTGGTTTGTTTTTTTATTTATCTCACTTTACTCCATTTTTTTTTTTTTTTTTTTTTAATTTCAAATATCCTGGTCAAAATTTTTCTCACTTGGCTTGAATGGAAAAACCACGGCTTGTTTTTTTTTTTTTTAATTTTATTAAAATAATAAAATAGTAAAAAGTCGGGTAATTTTTTTATTATATTACAGTCATTCATTTTCATTCATTTTTTTTATAAAAATTCTTAATTTTTATTTCTTCTTTTCCATTTGAACGGCCAAGCGCGAAAGATATCCTATAAATTAATTTAATAGATATATATTATTATTTTTATTAATTGATTATTTCGTTTTAAGAAAAGTGATTATAATTATTTATAAATATAAATATTAGGGCACTGTGGTGGGTATTTTTAAATATTCTTGATCCCGTGTTGAAAAGAAGTTTCTGCTTTTTTATTTTTTTGCATGTTTTACAATTGTTATTATTATTAAAAAAAAAAAAAAAAAAAATTGCACGTGCAAAGGCAAGTGTCTTAAATATTGAAAAATTTATTTTAAATAATAAATAGTTATTTAAATGAGTGTAGCTGTCAGAGGATATATTGGCTCCTAAACTTGGACCAATAGCATGAAAAAATTGCATTGAACCCAAATACGCAATAATTATTATTATTATTATTATTTATTACTATTTATAATATGAAAATAATCAAATTATAAATTAGTGATTATTAATTAATTTTAATTAAAATCCTTGATAAATAATTAATTAGATGTAAATTGAGAGTTTTGTTTTATCTTGGTGATCTCTTTCAGCAAGCGGTACGGATGGACATGAAAAACGGCGAGTCAGCATAAGATTACACCGTAACACAGCAGCAGCTGCTGCTGAGATGCAGCCAAAACCCAAGTGAGTTTTATTTTTTTTATTTTTATTAAGTATTACTATTAATTAAATCGCGTGACAAATGCCAATAGGATGTATCAATGGTGAAAAAAAATTTTCCAAAGCCAAAAGGGCGTATGTCTTGAATTATACGCCATTTTAGCTTTAGAAACTCAGAAATTTTGTGATCTAAAAAAAAAAAGTTTTGTCATTTTCAAGAGCTCCAATTAGAGTCAAATAAAACTGAAAAAATGTTTTTACCATTTTATAAAAATAGAAAAAAAAAATTTTCGTTATTCATTTTGCCCTTTTTTGTAGTTTAATTTTTAATTTTTTATGTTTATTATGAAATTGCTCCATTGATGTAGCTTCATTTTCATTTTTTGTAATAAAAAACATAATTTTTTTTATACGCCCTTCTGGCTTTAGAGACTTCAAAATTTTGTGATCCAAATGAAAAAAAAATTTGTAATTTTTGAGAATTCTAATTAGAGTCAATTAAAAAATATTTTTACCATTTTATAAAAATTAAAAAAAAAATTTCTTTTCGTTGACCAGGGGCAAAAGCCCCTTTTTGTAGTTTAATTTCAGTAAAATTCCATTTAGTAAAATTTTCTTAAAGCTAAAAGGGCTTATACCTTTAAAATACACCTTTTTGGCTTTAGTAACTCAAAAATTTTTTTTACTGATCTTTACGTTTTAAACAATTTCGAGTTGATTAGCTAAAAAAATTTTTTTTGTCCGCATTTTATGACAAAGTCCTTACTGTAGAAGTACGCCCTTTTGGCATTAGTCACTAGAAATGGTTAAGGTTGCACTCGAACACTTATCATCTCATCACTGACCATAAATCATAAAAAACTTCCATTGCACTTTTCACACGTAGTTAAATTTAAATGGGTCGCTATACCGTGGCATGGTTCTCCTCGGGTAAACGAGTCTTATCTATTAGAATAGTGATTGAAAATAATAAAACCGTGATGATGCATGTTAGACAGTACATAAATGTTTTTTTTTTTTTTTTTTTTTTTTTATTTTTTATTTGTTTCCGTTGATTACAGGTAAACGATCTACAGTCATGTAAAAAAGGAAATCGCGTAAACACGATGGACGAATATTAATTGACATGCAGTGACCGAAGTGAAAGAAGCTAAATTAACACTATGCCATGCCATGGTATACAAGACTCTAGAACGAGAGGATTGATGCGACATGACTTTTATTTTATCTTTACACAATAAATATTTAAATTATAATTAAAATTAAGAATCTAAATCAGGCTCTCGTTGATGAAAAAAAAAACACGTGGGGTGATACAGTGCTTGCTTAAGAGACATAAACCTAATTTAAGCAAATTTGTAAAGCTTATATTAGCTTTTTAATAATTAATTATAATTATTAAGTCTCTTTTAAATTAAAGTACTTAATACTTGTTGTAAAGTATTTGTCAGCAGTAACTCGCTTAATGTTGCTGTTTGTGTATGTTTTGTTTTGGAAGCGCCAATGTGATGGCAATGGCTCCACCAACCCAGGTGGTCAAGCGGGCAAACGTTCAACACAACAAATAAGCCAACAAAAACAAGTTAAATCACAAACAACTAAAACCCGAGGCTTGTCTTCTGCAACAGCTGGTGCTCGTCAACCTCGTAAATAATTTTCAACATCAACTATCGATTTTATTAAATTTATTAGCTTAGAATTATTTATAATAATTAAAATTACCTTCGTTGAGGTTCGGCATTTTCTCCCCGGCTCTATTTATAATTTTTTGTTATACTTATTGATTAATTACGGCTGAATGATTGTAAGATTTAATTGTGAGTCTATTAAGGTTAATTAATTAAGTTAATGATTTAATTATAGCATTATTATTATTATCACATTTCATGTCACAAGATTCTTAATTATTTGTACTAAGCTTTTGGCGTGTCTTTTTTTGTACCTTTTTTTTTACTTAATTTTTTTTTGTCTTAAGAGGATATTCTGATTTAGAAGTATAAAATTTTATGTAATTTTTTGTCCCATAAAAAAAAGACAATCAATATTTTTACTATCCATTTTTTTATAATTTTTTTAAAATTTTATAGCAATTAAATTATAATTAAAAAAATGTAATTAAAAAATTCCACATGTGGAAATTAATAAAAATTATAAGTGAAAATTTTTAGAAAAATTTTTTTATTGTAATTGATTTGTTATAAAAATTTTTAAAATTGACAGCTGACGGCTAAATTTCATTATTTATTAACATCGTAATAAATGAAAATTAAGTTAGCTGACATTTAAAAATTTTTAAGATTTTTTTTCATTAAAAAAATGATTACAAAAAAAATTTTCATTTGAAAAAAATTTTGAAAACTGTAAGTGTAATTTTTTAAAAATATTTTTTTTTGTTCTAATTTAATTATTAAAAAAAAATTCAAAATGTCGGCTAATTTTAGTATTCGTAAGAATATAGAAAAAAATAAAAAAAAGTTGAAAATTTTAGAATTTTTAACATTTTTTATTTTTTTCTGTATTCTTATAATGTTAATAAATAATTTATAAAAAAATGGGTGGTAAAAATATTGATTGCTTTTTTTACGACACTTGAAAAATTACCTGAAATTAAAATCTGAGGTATTAGGAGCAATTATCGTGTAATTTTTTTTATTCCACTAAAATATACGAGAACTTGACGACTGAAATAAAAAATATTTGACCAAGTGACAAGCTCTCATTTCTAAAATGGCAAAAAAATATTTTATTTTTTAAATTTAGAGAAAAATAGTCGCTGAATTATTTATCATGTTTTTTGAATTTGTAAAAAAATTAGTACATTTAATAAAAAAATACGAATCGTGATAAAATATAAAATGTATAAATATAAGAAGTGATTTTTCTAAGTAGATAAATTTTGACTTTTTGGTTTTAAATAACGCCGCTAATAAAATAATTATTGTATTTAATGCCAATTATCGTTTACTGGAATATTTGTGCCGGTTCCCCCGAGATTAAACACTTAATTTAAATATATATTAACTATAATAATAATAATGATAATATAAATAATAAATAATATTCTTTATAATGGATAGTTAAATCAAATCTAAGCGATAAAATAATTTTTTAAATTATTATCTTTGATATAAGACATAACAGAACATTTTTATGCTAGCTGAATTATAATTATTATAAATCTAAAATATATATTTTAGATACAATTAATTTTTAGTATTATCGGCAATTTAATACAGTGAAAATAAATTTCAACGATTTAAATATTATAATTTAAAGATAAGTCTGGATTAGATTGAAAAAAAAAAATCTGTAGCAATAAAATTTAATTAAAAAATAAATTTTTACTATTAATAATAATTATTTAAGTTTATTTTTTAATTATAATTTTTTTACAGGCCAATTGTTTTAAATTTTAACCAACAAGATGTATATTACACTGCCAGTATAATTCCTTGTATTTTTCCAGAAATTAATGTAGACCTTTAAATTGACTGACCTTAATTTAATTATTTAATCAAAAAAAAAAGCCTTTATTAAATTTTGGTGTGACCGGCACTTTGTTAAATGTAAATAATTTTTTATAACATTTTTTACTAATTAATTAATCCTTAATTAATTATTAAATAACTTTAAAAAATTATTAACCAATTAATTTTGTCCATTTTTTATTGTAGAAAAAAATTAATTAATTAATTAAATTTTTTTAAATTAATTAATTAGTAAATAACTTTTAAAAAATTATTAACAAATTAATTTTGTCCATTTTTTATTGTAGAAAAAAATTAATTAATTAATTAATTAAATTTTGTTAAATTAACGGCCTAGTAAAATTTATAGAAGCAATTATTTGGCGATTAATTTTAAAGTGGTAATGGTAATAATTGTGTAACGAATCAAACAATTTGTATATAACATATACAACTTATTAATTAAATATAATCAATATAAGACCTTAATATAAGCTAAGTATAAAAAAAATAACAAAAGCTAAATATTAACGCACGTTAGCTTTTTTTATAGGATTAATAATTTTTATATATTAAAAAAAAAATATTTTCTCTCCATTATTTTATAGTAATTTTAAATCAGGCAACGCTTGTAATTGTCGCTAAAAAATTGTTATTAAGGCGTGCAATATGCCTGAAAAAATTATATTATTTCCATGACGTTTTACTGAAAATTATTAATTAATTAATTTTAATGTGAGAATGTGTTGTATGTTAATGTAAATAATTGCTTTTTTCGGTACGAAAGATTAATTGGGGAGAAATATTTTTAAATTTATTATTTATTATTGTTATAATATTCTCATAAATTGAACAAAAAAAAAAAAATTAAAATATGAAAAAGGAAAAAAAAATAATGTACTTAGTTGATAATTGTTTGTTTTATGTTGCGAGAAATCCGCCGTCGATGGGCAATGCAACGCCGTTAATCATTGAACTGCGATCACTTAGTAGGTAAACAATTGGGTCTATAACTTCGTCAACCTCTGTAATATATCGTCAAATTTTAAATGTATTAGTTATAAATTTAAGATACAAAATGTATGTATGGTTAATGATTAATGATAATGATAATGATAATGACCATTTACAATTTACTATCTAGGGTGTGAGTTTCAGGCGTGGAAAAAAAAAAAAATAATGATATAATTTTTATGTCTATGTGAGTGAATAATTATTTACACGGGGATGATTTTAAAATACATAGTACAATTTCTTACCGGCAAAACGTCCTAGTGGTATTTTTTCTGTCATACTGCGAGCTTTTTCTGGATCTCCCCATCCTAATTTTCCCATCGCTGTCAAAACTACTGTTGGATTGACTGCGTTTACACGAATATTGTGAGGGCCTAATTCTAAAGCCATTGTTCTGAAAAAATTTTTAGATTTCTAGATTTTTTTTTAATATTATTTATATTATTAAGAGAATAATAAAAATTTTGTCTCTAGGATAGAATTGACCTTGTATCTTGTGAACTATTGACATTTTTTAAAATATCAGCTCATCCCGATGTTACACTCATCGAGACCTTTCATTTGAGTACCCACATCAATTTTTCATATATTTATATATATTATATATATGTATAAATGAAAAATATATCAAAATACATGTAGGTACTCAAATGAAAGCTCTTGAAGAGTGTAACATCAGGATGAGCTTATATCTTTAAAAATGTCAATAGTTAAGAAAGTACAGTGCAATTTAACAAATGTCTTGTGAACTATTGACATTTTAAATTACACTGTATTTTCTTAACTATTGACATTTTTTAAAATATCAGCTCATCCCGATGTTACACTCATCGAGACCTTTCATTTGAGTACCCACATCAATTTTTCATATATTTATATATATTATATATATGTATAAATGAAAAATATATCAAAATACATGTAGGTACTCAAATGAAAGCTCTTGAAGAGTGTAACATCAGGATGAGCTTATATCTTTAAAAATGTCAATAGTTAAGAAAGTACAGTGCAATTTAACAAATGTCTTGTGAACTATTGACATTTTTAAAGATATAAGCTCATTCCGATGTTACACTCATCGAGACCTTTCATTTGAGTACCCACATGAATTTTTCATATATTTATATATATTATATATATATATATATATATGTATATATGAAAAATATATCAAAAATGCATGTGGGTACTCAAATGAAAGCTCTTGAAGAGTGTAACACCAGGATGAGCTTATATCTTTAAAAAGGTCAATAGTTAAGAAAGTACAGTGCAATTTAACAAAATTCATTACTTGGTCAACATATCAACAGCTCCTTTAGATGCGCAATAAATTGCATGATCCTTAAGAGCAGCATGGCTCGCTTGAGAAGAAACATTAACAATACTTCCCGAGGCTTTCCTCTTGATCAAGTCTTCTGCTACTACTTGAGACACATTGAACATTGATTTAACGTTAATAGTCATCGTCAGGTCAAAGTGTTGTTCTGTTTGCTGCAAAAATGGCGCAAGACAAGCTACTCCTGCATTATTGACAAGCATGTCAATCGGTAAGACCTTTTTTACAGCATTTCTTGTTGCTTCCCAGTCCGCGAGGTCCACCGCAACTGTCTCAATTGTTGGATCTTCTTTTTTTAGAGAGTCCAAGTTGGAGGCTGTTTTTGACAAGGCGATTACTGTTCCGTTGAACTTTGACAAGCGCAGAGCTAGATCTCTGCCGATACCTTGATTTAAATTTATTTATTATTTATTTTTATCTTAGAGTATTAAAAATAGCAATATTAGTTAAAAATAGAAACATCTGGATTAAAATAGAAATTTTTATTATATAATTTATACTCACCTTGTCCAGCGCCTGTGATTAAAATACGTTTATTCTTAAATGAAATATTCATTGCAGCAAATTTACCAAAGAACTGCTGCTAATTTTATTTCTTCTCTATTTATATAACTATAAAGAAAAATATGATTAATATTAATGCGTTATAAATCCAAGTATTAGGTAATAATTGATAAGAATTATGAGTATGATTCAGATTTAAGTGCGTCACTAAAATTACATATTATAAATTATAATCTGTCAAAGATCGTCTATATTTACAGTATATTTTATTAATAAGGAGTTATATCCACTTGTAAGTTCGAAAAAATGTATTTATTTGTTAATTTTTTCTGGAGAGGCTTTTTATTAAATATGTACATAAAATATATTAACATTTAGCGAATTTAACGTATTCCAAGAATTCATATTTTATTAATAAAAATATTGGGTTCCGTCGTACCTGTAGAAGATTCCGATGTACCTGAAGGTCCTCCACAAAAAAGTATCTGGCGGTGAGGAAGATATCTCTGATCCAAATTATCAGAAGTAAAAAAAAAGACGCCATTCGGCCATACCCGAAATGGAAGGTAGATTTCATAGAATGAATTCTCATCTTGTCTCAATAACTTTCGTTTGACATATGGAATGAAATTTATTTTAACATATATGTATAAATAGTAGGTTGTATTACACATTGCATGAAAATGGTTCAATTAAACTCTTAACTTCGATAAAATAACTAATAATGGTCAAAAAGTTAACGGGTAAATACGTCAAATTAGAAGTGATTTTATGAGTTTTCACATGAATTTATCAAAAATCAGCTATCTTTTTATTATTATAAAAGTTATACATAAATGAAGTCACCGAAAACGTAATTTCTCCTATTTTGATCATTTTGAAGAGCTACTATTTCTGAACTAATTGAAGGATTTCGCTCTTTTTAAGGCTCATGCAAGCTAATTGTCTAAAGAATTTGTATACTAAATTTCATTGGGATCTGTTACGAATTCTTGACCAAATAACATTCATAAGTCGGCTGCACTACACATTGCCTGAAAATGGTTCAATAAAACTCTTCACTTTGATAAAATAACTAAAAATGGTCAAAATGTCAATGTTATATGCGTCAAATTGAAGGCGATTTTACGAGCTTTTACATGAATTCATCAAAAATTAGCCATCTCTTTTCAACCAAAAGTTATACATCAATGAAGTCACCGAAAACGTGATTTTCACTATTTTGATAATTTTGAAGAGCTGCCATTTCTAAACTTATCGATGGATTTCGCTCATCTTCGAACTCATTCAAGGTTATTATCCAAAGAATATGTGTAACAAATTTCATCTAGATCCGTCAAGAACTGTAGACACAATCACGGCAACATCCCGCGTTATATTACATATGTATATATAAAAAGCATAACTGGCTAGAGTCGGTGTTCAAAATAATACATAAAGTCACCCCTGAACTCATCCCAGCTCTGGAAACTCTTGATGTGGACCGGTGGAAAGCTTTTAAAGCTTACTTCCTTGAAAGGTACAAAAATCATCTTCTTATGCAAGATTTAAATAAAGTTTCTAACGCCAAATACCTGCAAGTGACATTACAAAGACCATTAGAAGGGTCCAAGGCTGCGTATCTAAGCAAGAGGATCCATTATTTGCAAGCTCTAAAAACGTTCATGCAAGCACGTCTAGCCAACAATTACTATATATCATCATTTCACTGTGGACCAACCCTGCTTCAAATTCAACCCCTCTCAGCCCTGCCCAATATATAACTCTGGGAAACTGGACACCTTGGAGCATTTCATTATCGCCTGCCCTATTTTAAATCCATATCGATCGTTCTGAAATTTTAGATTGCTGCCATTCTCAAACTATTAAATCCTTCTTTCTTTTTACCAAATATTGCTGCCGCCTTAGAGCGTTCTGTTTAAATGAATAACTATATATTGTATATAAATATTTCTATATCTGTCCATGTAAACTACTTAGTTTATCTTTAAATTTATTTTTTATCGACGTTAAAGTATAAATAATTAATTGTTATCTTTTTATATTATATTTTATTTTCTTTTATCTATTGGATGCTTATCTCTAACCAATTGTATGGATACTGTATGTATTCTTGAATCAATAAATATTTTTACTTTACTTACTTTACTATATATATATATATATACATACATAAATAAATTTTTTAACTAACATTATTCTTGAGCTTTACTCGACTAGTTAAGTGATATTAGGACAAATTTCCGAGTAAATTCCGACATGAGGACCAATGCAAAAGATTGATTTCTATGAAATCTACCTAAAAACTAAAAGGATTACCTACCTACTTATAGGATAGATAAATACAGATAATGATCGAAGAAATAGTCAAAATTTTAATTTTAGACAAACTGGCGGCTTCCCAATAAAAAAAAAAATCTTTTTTTGCACAAAAATTTACACCTTTACACAAAGTGACTTAAAAAATCGAAATTTTTATTAGAAACTTTATTCCTTCGATCTCATTACCTGACAAAAGTATCTAAGAAGATTCTGTGAAAATTTCAAGTCAATCGGTCAAGCGGTTTCGGAGAAATATTCCTCACCGACTTTGAAAACATGATTTCGAGAAAAACGCATTTAAAGTTTTGGCTATTAAGTACATCGAGTCGTCTACATCAGGGCCATACGATGAACCCTCTGCTTCATCGTTTGCTTCTAATATAGCTAATTGTTGTTGTCTACGTGACATTCTTTCCTCGCTCGTGCACCCTTCCGCTCTTGCGTTAGCGATGGAGATGCGCTCTGCGTCCTCTTTTTCGACGTAAGCATGGGCATTAGGTCCAAGCGTTAGTCCCAGTGCGTTCATAAAATATAAAAGAGATGTTTTTCCTTCATTGAACATGCCGGCAGCAAGGTAGGCAGCATTTTCAACAATCTTAGAACCACACGGAATTATATTTTTGGAGTTATTTTCCATATCAGCTGATCCGCATCTTTCTAATAATTTTTCATTGCTCAGGTCTGTATAAATTGGAAGTATAGCTGCTCCAGCAATATCAGGTGGTAAGGGTTGATAATCATGTTCGTAGCTTGATAATGTGCCCAAAGCTCGCGCTTTCTGCCAAGAACACCACGAGTCTTCTCCAGACGGGCATTTATCGTGTTGAGGATTGTCATCAGTGGAACAATTATGATAATATGAAGCCCAAATGGCATTGGACATATTTTCAACAGAATCACAGTGTCTTCTTATCGCTAAGCCATATAATACACAGTCAATTTATTGATGATTTTACTAGTCAGTTTACCCTTTTCACCAAGTTTCACCTTTTTCTGTTGTTTCTTTCCATTTTTATCTTCAGTTTCAATTGTAGTTTTGTTCACACACTCCCTTAATCGTTTACCCATTAGCTTCTGAACATGGACTATGCATTCTTTCTTCATTACTTCAATGTCACCATAAGGTGCGGCGTTTAAAATTCCTGAGTAAGCTTTGGAGTCACCATCTCCAATGTAGTTTCTGTAACGAAATCCAAAATTTTCTAATGAACGTCTAAACATTTCAATGACCGCATCAACTTGCATTTTTCCTGATGATCCAGCGTGATTAGCAGAACAAACTTCTTTATGATTATCCCACCACTCTTCATACTCAACCGTATCTTTAAAATTTTTCCAAGGTTCACATTGTTTACAATTTACAATAACAACTTTTTACGCAAATATCAATAATTTTAATGACACTGAAGTTATTAGCAGACGTCTAAAATTTTTTGATTTTTTTTTTTTTTTAATTAAATTACAACTAAAAAGATATTTTTAAAAATTGCACTTATAGTTTTTCAATTTTTTAACAAGTGATATTTTTTTTTTTAATTGTTTAATTGAAATTTTTTGGATAAAAAAATTTCTAAAAATTTTTAAATGTCAGCTAACTTTATTGGCATTAATTTTACCAGTATAATAGCCAATCAATGAAGTCACACCATATAGAGAACTAAACCCTCTGTTTTTCCAGGTACCATCTCCAGAGACTGTTAAGTCATTTTTATTTTCATCACCCTGGCTTTTCGACGTCGCTTCTTTTTCCTCAGTACAAGCTTTCTTTAGCAATTTTTACACATTCGTGTATATTTTTCATTATCATGTCATATGTACTCTGTAGCATAAAAGCTGGCATATCCATTAATCCACAAAATTGAGTTACATACCTTTTAAACCGATCCCAAGAGTTCTCATAACAAATAAGAATCTCCGATTTATTTCATAAGAATTTTTGACAAAGGCACATGAATTTACGCTATGAGGATCACACTTATCACAGACGATAACAATTTTAAAACCAAGTCCCCGATGTGATGCTGTTTCAAATTTAACTGCTCCATTACACGATTTACATTGAACATATTCACTGATAGCCGCAAATACTGTAATAAAATTTATAATTCGATATTCAATCGAAGTATCACGAGTGACAAGTATTTCGTCTTGGGCCCTGAATTTTTTTGCTGACGCACTGAAACTACTTTCATCATATTCCGCTGTTTTTGGATTATGAACAACTCTAGGTTTTTTCGGTCGTGATAACTGTGCACCGCTACGTTTTTTACTTTCTCTGCTAATTTTACGAGGCATTTTTATACGCAAAACGATCTACACGTTGAGAAAATTAACAGAATACTGGTACGACTTTAAAACTTCTAATTATAGCTTCCAGGTATAAAATAACCATTTCATATTCTTATTCAAAGGAGAAAGTCATTGCAAGAAGCATGGACAAGGACATATAATAGGGGTAATACAATAGACGAGCGGCTGCTACTCCGGGTTACGGAGTTGAACAGGTTTCAAAGTAAAACGTATTTGACCCTACTTTTAATGTATAAATATGTAATTATTAGTTCAAATTAGTGATTTTCATGAAAATATAAATAATTTTGAATTGATTCAAGCGCAAAATAACAAAAATAATTGAATATTTATAATTTGACAACGTTTTTAAGATAGACTATGAAAGGAATAGTAGTTGAACAATCAATTCTGACAAGCCGCAGTAGTTGAACTAATAAAATATATGGCAGTAGGCACACCAAAATTTTTTAACGTTTAATTGAAATATTCAAAGATTTATAATATATTATTTAATAATACTAGAATTTAAATTTACGCGCGCAAGCGCCCGCTTTGACTATGGAGTTTGCATATGGGGCATTCCATGCCAAATCGATCACTTTTGATACCGACCCTTTTCGATTTTTCTGAAATTTTGGTATCTTCCTCTTTTTATTAACCATGATTAATAATGATTAATAATTAAAAACAAATATTTAACAAGAGTTTTTCATGTTCGGCAAGAATAACAAATATTAACGCGTCACAAAAAATTAAATATGCTGACTTGCGCAGTGTCTTCCGAGCCTGCTGGAAGGTAATTGATAATTATCGAAAGCGGTTTTATATTTATTAAGATAAAACGACTTTTTTTTTCAGCAATTTCTAAAAGAAGAAATTTAATTAATTAATAAATAATAACAGGTGCAAAATTATCAACTTTTTGTAAATGAAAAATAAATTTTTATTTAAATAAAAATTTTATGATATAAAATCACTCAGTTTCTTTTTAATACGCTTACTGCTCCTCAAATGAGGCTTTGATCCACTAGGACGCTTCGGATTCTTCTGAGCATCTTTTTCAGCCTCTGGATTTTCGACAACTTTATTTTTATCATTATCAGTTGAATTATTCATATTATTCTCATCAGAAATTTTGACACTCGTTTCAATTTCATTATTTACCTCCAGATGATTAGTATCATCAGGACTCTCTAATTGTTCTTGATTTTTTCTAAAAAAAATGTAATTATAAATTTAAATCTCTAAAAAATATATTTGTTAATAATTATTAATTATAATTACACTGTAAAAATCGGGAGTAAATAATTAAAACACTTTAAATCTGGAATTTTTTTCTTACCCAACACTGTCATCATCTCTGACATAAACTTTTCTGAACAATCCTTCGTGTCCATGAAAAAAATTTATAAAACTTCGATAAAGCTCATCCTGACCGTAATTAGACTTTACGGGGGGCAAATGCGATCTACGAAACACCCTTGTTCTCATATGAACTAAAAAATTAATATTAATAAAATTTTCATTAACAAAAAAAAATATTTTGCTACTTTTTATTTATTCATTTAATTTAAGGACGTTAATGCGCTACGCTAGAGTCAAATAAAGACTAACTTTTTACGAAATTTTTTGGAGCCTAGAGAAAAATTTTCAATAATTTTACAATGATTTATAACTATTTTTTATTTATCCTAAATATTTTTTTGGCATTTATTGTAAAATATCAGTAAATATATGTTAGTCGTTAATTTGAGGTGAATTTTAATTGTTAATTAAATTAGGCAATATCGGTATTTTTAACGACACTAGAATTTGAATTTTGCGCGCGCAAACGCGCGCATGAGTATAGCATTTGTCTATATTTTCATGCTTATGATATATTTGACCAATCACGTTACGAATAGTTTGATGCCACATACATTTCATCTCAATTTTATATTAGGACTAAAAATAATACTATAAATATTTAATATGTTCATTTAAAAATGAGAAATATTTGTATTTAATTTATTAATTACATTTTTTATGAATGACAAAGTGAATTTTCAATTATAAATCAAAAAAACTCAATTCAAAACGTTCAATAATTTTTAACTATATTAATTTTTAGTTATAAAACTTATTTAATTTGCAGTAATTAATACAAATCACAATACTGATCACTAGTCTATAAACCTATTAAAGGTTAAAGTGCTATTAAAATTATATGGTCCCAGCTTGTTCAAGTTCTGGGTACTACTTTGAAAATTGGGAGGTATAGTTGAACGCTAAAATTTAATATAAAAATTATAGTTTATGTCTTTGCAAAAAATATGTATTATTTAAAAAAGACTATTTCATTGGGTGGTACAATTTTTTTCACTTAAAATGATGATATGCCGTTTTTTTTATTGATTGTTCGGTTTACGGTTTAGTACCTTTTTCATGAAAAAAATAGCATCTATCAGTTATTCTCGACATGTCAACTTTAAAGTTAACAAAAATGTAATTATTTTGATTTATAATTGAAAAAACTTACCGAAATCAATTACTGTATCATTGAATAATTATAAAATGCGCATATGACTCATAATATATATATATACAGATTTTGTATTACAACAATTCTAAAAGTCTGTTCAACTACTGGTCCCATTTTTAGAATTGTTCAAGTACTGTACTGGGTACTTTACCTTACATTCAAAATATGCAAAAAAAAAAAATTTCGATTTTTTCAAAATTACAAGTGGATGATATAACGCCTTAGTTTATTTTTTAGGAAAAAATAATCAAAGATAATTTTTTTATATAGAAAATTTAGCGTTGCAATTTTCAAATGGTAAAATTTTTTTTTCATGATAAAATTATAAAGAAATTTTTAACATCTATCAAGTTCAGTTTCATTAATAGTATTGGCTACTTTTGGTCAGTAAACATCAGTAATGACCTACAAAAGCTTTTTATCAGCTGTTTATTCCTTTACACACATTACATGAATTTATTTCAAAATAAACTGAAAGTACGAATTAATTTAATGTTCATACAAATCACATTGAACTTCACGCTTTGACCTTATAAAAAAAATTATCTGATTTTTTTAACATTTTTTAATAACAGTAGTTTGAATAAAAAATATTTTTGTAACCTTAACAAAAATATCGAACATATAATTCATTTATATATAAACAAAAAAAAATTAATTTACATTTTTTCGCTCAATTTGTTAATCAGAACATTAAATTATTTTTATAAATTATAATAAAAAATGATCTTTAGAGTTAACGGTGTCTACCCAATGACTGGGTTTTATTTAACATGTATGAGTTTGTCTTGTTAAAGTATGACGTGTAGATAAAATTAGTCTTGGAGCATATGCCATTAGCCAATGTAATTTGAATTAAATAATTGACAAATATTAATAGGCACAACTATGGACTTAAAAAAACTGAAATAAAAACACAATTATTGTTTTTTTTTTTTTTTTTTTTTTTTCAAATATCATATGTATAATTATAATTTTACAAAAGAACAAATTATTAATCATTAATTAAAGCAGCAAGAAATTTATTACTTGCTAAATTATCAGATTGAAAGTTACAATTATAAGTATCATTATTGTTACTGATATCATTCTCTCAATGCGAAACACAACTTTTAAATGCTTCATGTATATAATTTTTAACTATTTTTTTTTCCAGGCTGAATTTTACCGCATTTTATTTATTAGTATAATTAATCGCTGTCTGTGATAGGAATTTCGAGAATTTTTGGTCCGTAGAGAAGAACGTAGGCACAGTGCCAGTCACCGCCGCCGCTAAGTTTCAGGATTTCTTCACTTGTGACGACACTCACTGTGTCGTCGTCACATTTTAACCAAGTGTCTCCTTTTTGACGAACCCAACCGACATAATGTCCGCTGCTGCTTGATCGTCCTCTGTGAGTTAGAACTGCTTGAAGCGTGTAATATCCGCTGTTATTTGAACCCAAATCTAAAAAAATTTATTAAGTTATTGTATATAAAATTTTGCTTAATTAAATAATGAATTTTGTTAAATTTCACTGTACTTTCTTAACTATCGACATTTTTAAAGATATAAGCTCATCCCGATGTTACACTCATCAAGAGCTTTCATTTGAGTACTCACATGCATTTTTTATATATTTTTCATATATACATATATATAATATATACAAATATATGAAAAATTGATGTGGGTACTCAAATGAAAGGTCTCGATGAATGTAATGTCGGAGTGAGCTTATATTTTTAAAAATGTCAATAGTTCACGAGATACAAGGTTATTTCTTAACTATTGACATTTTTAAAGGTATAAACTCATCCCGATGTTACACTCATCAAGAGCTTTCATTGGAGTACCCACATGCATTTTTGATATATTTTTCATATATACATATATATATAATATATATAAATATATAAAATATATGAAAAATTGATGTGGGTATTCAAATGAAAGGTCTCAATGAGTGTAACATCAGGATGAGCTTATATCTTGAAAAATGTTAATAGTTCACAAGATACAAAGTCATTCCTTATTCTCTTAATAATATAATGAAAAAATAAATTTATTAAAAATGATAAATATTTCATACCATCCTCAAAGCAAAACGGCAGAGTTTTCACTGCCTTTTCAGGTTCATCAACCTTGGGCTTTTTGTCTGTTAACTTCTGAGCCTCTTCAACTTTTTTATCTTCAAGCTCTTTGAATTTATCTCGCATGGGAATAAGTTTTTTTTGAAGCTCAGGAGAACAAAGCTCAAATGCGTCAAATTCCATTGGGAATTTAACGTCTTTCAATATCTTAGCATTTATTGCTTCCTTTTCTTTGTAGAAAAATCGAACGAATTGAATCGTGAGGTAGGCTGGTAGTCTACTGATTTTAGACTATAATAACAAAATAAAAAATCAATAAGAAATAATATTATAAATAAATATTGAATAATTTTTTCGAGCTTCTAAAAAGATAAAATTACTAAAAATAATTTTTTTTTTGCTATAACTTATTAATTAAAAATTAAAAAAAAAACCATCTGATCTCTAAATGAATTAATTTATATAATACCGTTTTCGTATAAACTGCATCTCGTTCAAGAGTAGGTGACATTTTAGTCAGCTGTTCCTGCATTTTGTTTTTCAATCCAGAGTGCATGTACTTAACGTCCGTGGAAATGAAGCAACTGAGCTGTAAAAATTCTTCTTTAGATTTAGTTGGTGGTTCATCTTCAGACTCAACACACTTAAGCTCTGTATCAAATGTCCCGCCGAAATACTGTTCTATCAATGAACGAGGCTTGTAACTCGCTTCGCCGGCGGATGCAGTTACTCGAGCTGGTAATTTTTGTTGAAGCATTCGTATTAATTCAGTCCAGCACTCGCTGGCGTCTTGTTGCTGATAACCACCAAGCTCAGATTTTTCAGCGAACCGTGGAAATGCAAGATGCAGCACTTGAAGAAGAACCGCCGGTCGAAATGCAATACCATTATCCATTCCTTCATAGCAATCCCTCAAAGAAGCTGTAATACTTTGAGCCGGAACTAAAGATGCTATTTCTTCACTTCCCGAAGAAGCAATACCTCCGGGAAATTTCTTTAGAGCTTCTCGCAATTCTGGAACAGTTTTAAGACACTGAACAGTTGCGTTAAGATAACAGGTGTTTCCGAGGTTCGTCAATCCTGCAGGTAAGTCAAGAGCAGATGCTATTTCTGCTTCATTCATGTCTTCTACAAATAATGGCTTTTCTAAGGGCTCTATTGGGACATCCTCTTCTTTAGAACCCATCATGAGCACCATAACTCCCTTAAAAATTAATAAAATTAATAAATATTTATTTTGTTGTAATTACTAACAACATATTTAATTTTTATGATAATAAAATTAGCCGACGTTCAAAAATTATTTTTTTTTTTTTTTTTTTTTTTTTATCAATTAAATTGAAACTAACGGAGGGCCTAGGAGAGGGATATGAGACAGGAACAAGTATAAGAGAAGAAGAACCTACGGATGAGGAAATTGACCTGCAGATATCAAAGTTAAAGAGGAAGAAGGCAGAAGGAGGAGACGGAATAAAAAACGAAGCCTGAATATTTGGAAGGGGGAAAATTAGGACACGGTTAAGACAAGAGAGAAGTAATTAGAGAGGTGTGGAGAGGCGAATATTTCGTAGAAGATTGGAGGGAAGGGATAATAGCGCCGATATATAAGAAAGGAGAGAAGGAAAATATGAAGAACTACAGGGGAGTGACTTTAACCTGCACGGCTTACAAACTATACGCGGCGATATTAAACGAGAGGATAATGGAGTCAGTGGAGGAAAAAAGGGGGGGGTGGGAAGATAATCAAGCAGGATTATTAGGAAGAAGAGAGGATGTATGTACAACGTTTACATTTTGAGAAAAACGATAGAAAAGACCATAAAGGAGAAAGGGGGAAAAGCATATGTTCTGTTCCTGGACCTGAAGGGAGCATTCGACAATTTGGACAGGAGGATTCTATTAAAAGTAATGGAAAGAATGAGGATAGAAAACGGGTTGATTGAGAGGGTGAGAAGAATATATGAGGAAACGAGATGCAGAGTAAGAGTAGGAGGAAAATTGTCGGAATCTTTCTGGACGGGAAAAGGAGTAAGACAAGGATGTCCTCTCAGCCCTACACTGTTCAACATCTACGTAGCAGATTTAGAGGAGTTTTGCAGAAGAAGACAGGCAGGTGGAATAGTGATAGAAGGAAGAAAAATATGGTCATTGTCTTATGCAGATGACACGGCATTGGTGGCGGACAACGAGAAAGAAATGAAGGAGCTAATGAGGGTATGTGAGAGATATTTTAAAGAAAGGAAACTGGAGGTGAACGTGGAGAAGACAAAAATGATGAGGTTCAGTAAGGGAGGGGGAAGAGGCAGACAAAAGAAAAGGCAATGGCAGTGGGGAGGGAAAGAGGTAGAGGAAGTTAAAGAGTTCTGTTATCTTGGGTTCACGTTTGTAAGGAATAACACAGTCAAGGAGCATGTTAAGAAGAGGGTAAGGAAAGCCAAACAAGCCATGGAAAGAGTATAGGGAATAGGGGAGAGAAGATTCGGAGGGAAATGGAAATTCAGAAAATTACTATTCGAGAGTATAGTGGCTTGTATAGTAATGTACGGGGCAGAGATTTGGGGATGGACGGAGAGAAAGGAGCTGGAAAGTTTGCAGGAGCAGTATGGTAGGTGGGTAATGGGTCTTGGCAGAGAAGTGCCAGGGTACATAGTGAGAGAGGAGCTGGACCTGGATAAGATGAGAGTGAGGGCTGGGGCAAGAGCTTTTAATTTTGAAGAAAAAGTAAGAACGGAACCAGGAAGAGAACTGTTGAGGAGATGCGTGAGAGAAATTGGAAAGAGAGGCGAGGAAAGGAGAGCAGGGGAAGAAGAGAGGGAAAAATACCTAAACAGGTGCGGATGGTCATCTGCAGGATTAGAGCTGGAGTGGAGAGAGGAGAGAAGGAAATGGATGGAGCTAAGGGAAAATGATAGAGACGTTCAGAAACAGGAGAGGAGGGCGATGATAAAAGGGTCAAAATTTAATAGAGAATATGATAGGATAGTGAAGGAAGGGATCCCAGCTTACTGGGAGAAGGAAGAGAAGCTGAAAATAAGGGAGAAAAGGGAAATAGCTAGGCTCAGAACGGGAAGCGAATGGATAGGAAATAGGTATTGGATGGATGAAGAAAAAAGACAGTGCAGGTTGTGTGGGAAGGAGAGAGAAACGCTTGAGCACGTGGCAAAAAGGTGCAACGGAATGGTGAGGTGGGAGGGAAGTTTGGAGGAGCTGATGGGAGAGAAAGCAGAAGGGTTAGGATGGATATTAGAGTGGAGAAGAAAAGTAGAAAGTGTGGGTGTAATTAGCTACTAGCACCCGGGCTTGTCGGGTGCACTGAAAAGCCTTCGGGCATCTGTAAATATTTATTTCTTTAATAAATTTGTTATTATTATTATTATTATTAATTGAAACTAAAAAAATATTTTTAAAAAATTGCACATATAATTTTAAAAATTTTCTACATGTAAAATTTTTTCTTTTGATAATTTTTCAATACAAGAAATTACAACTTTATGGTAATTGAATAATTATGAAATAAATTAATAAATCATTTTTTTTTTGTAATTTCTAATATATTTAATTTTTTTGATACCAAAATTATCCGACGTTCAATTTTTGTTTTTTTTTTTTTATTAATTAAATTGGAACTAAAAAAATATTTTTAAAAAATTGCACGCCTAATTTTTAAAATTTTCTACATGTGAAATTTTTTCTTTTAATAACTTTTCAATACAAGAAATTACAACTTTATGGTAATTAAATTATGAAAAAAATTAAATTAAAAAATTCCATGTGAAAATTAAAAAAAAAATGACAGCTGTCAGCTAACTTTACTATCACAATTTTTTAATAATAAAAAATAACTTACATCTCTTAGCTTTATATTTCCCCAATTTTCATCTTTTAAAGTCATTCCCTTGACCATAACTTTTTGTCTCTCTGGTTGTACTCCAGTTAAAGCAAAAAGTTGGGCTTTAAAAAGTATCGGCTCTTCGTCGGTATTAACTTCAATATTTGGAAACAACTCCTTTCCCCACTTCACTTTAACTAAAAATTACATTTATTATTTAGAAGTGTCTATTATTTATTAATGTGGTTATATTAAATCAGTAATATTAGAAAATTAAAATTTTTTAAGGTTAATTTTATTATTTTGAAAAATTTAAAATTAAGGCTTACCTTTGTATTGTGGCATTTTTTGTTTATAATATTTTTATAAAAACACGATAGAAAAATGAAAAAAATAATCCTATAAATGTAATTTGTTGATCAAGCTTTTTTCTTTACTTGTAAAATAGCAAGTCAGACTGATCTGCTCTCTAACCATATTTTGATTCCCCCTCTCTATCACTCTACAGTATACTTGTGGGTTTTAAAGAGTAGCTACCTCTATTAAGGTTCGAAAAATTACTTTATCATACCAAGATGGCTCTGTAGTCTTTAGGAAAAAAATTTATCAAAAATGAAGATACAAAAATTACTATCACTTAAAAATTAACAATAAACTTTTAACAATTGAATTTTTTTTTTACAATTCATTACACTAATTAAATTTTTTAAACCAGGAATATTTAATTAATAAATAATTCAATTATATTTCTACTTTAAATTTTGATTTATTATTATACAGCACCATTTGCAAAGTATTAACAGCTGTAAGCTGTCAAAAAAATAAAAACAATTTATTTTTTTCAACAAAACTGAGGAATTCACCCCATACAATATATATATTTATATTTTTATAATTATTGGTGCGTTTTATATAATCAAACTCAAACATATACATAATTATTTATAAATAATTTTTTTTATGACACTGAAGTTGACATTAGAAATTTTTTTATAATTTTATAACAATAAAATTATTAATTATAATTTTATAACAATAAAAATTATTAATAAAAAAATTCCACATGTCAAAATTAAAAAAAATTGACAGCTGTCCAAGCGTCACATAAAAAACTGTTGACTTTTTGGTAAATTTTATTTAACAAGAAAGTCAAAAATTAATAATTGTCAACTTAAATTCAATAAAATATTACCAAAAAAATTTTTGTGCCGCTTGGGTGTCAGCTGACTATGACATTAAAGTTAACATTCACTAGAGAATTTTATAATTTTTTTAAACAAAAAAATTTGTTCAAAATTATTTAAAAAAAATTGCATTTTTAATTTTTTTAAATTTCTACACACTGCTCAGTGTGTATTATTCTGCTCAGCCCAAGAAATACAAACGAGTTCCAATCTCAAAAGTTTACCCCCTACCGTAGTCGCTCATGACCTTAGTAGTTTATGCGACTTTAAACAAATTAAGAAAAAAAAAAAATTTCTACACGTTAATTTTTTTTTTGCCATAATTTATTTGTTAAAAAAAATTCTAAAAATCAGCTGACTTCAATATCATTCTTTTTTTTTCTTTAAATAAATCCAATTTATTTTATTCTAAATGTATTTATAGCATGATATTTTTACTCTCAAAGTAATAAACCATAAATACAATTTAGAATTATATTAATTAATTAAAATATTTCTAACAATTAAAATAATGACTATTACTATTATTTTTTTACATATATTATACGATAATCAACATTAAATATACTACACACGTGTAACGTATAATAATCTAGAACTTATTTAAATGCACATTGGTACTTTTTATCACACAGGTGATCAACAATAATCAGTGAATAAAATAAATAATAACAAAAATATATTTAAGCCCAAACACGAAGAGTGGCATCCCAGCTGCCAGTAGACAAAGCAGTTCCATCAGGTGAAACCCGAAGACAAGAAACCCGATTTTCATGACCGTAAAGTAAAGCCACTCGTTGACATTTCAAAGTGTCCCAGATGTTGACAGTATAATCATTATACCCAGCAAAGAGGAGCCTTCCGCTGACACTTAAGTCAACAGAATTGGCTCCAAAAATAATACTTTCTTTGGCATAAACAGCGACTTCCTTATCAGCCCTCAGATCAAACAACCGGCAAGTAGCGTCGTCTGATCCCGTAGCAACAGCATCACCACCTGGATGAAATCTTACCGAGTTGACATCAGACTCGTGGCCTTCGAAGCTTTGAACACACTGACCGCTTCTCATGTCCCAGATCAGGACCATTTTATCGCAGCTCCCGGACACGAAAGTGTTGCCAGTCTCACTGGGAGCCAGATCGATGGACATCACATCGCCTGAGTGTCCATGAAAATTTTGGAGCAGCTGGCCGCTCTCAACGTCCCAAAGAGCACAAGTACTATCACCGCTTCCAGTCAAAATCTGCTGATCACTATTCGGGAACACACAGCAAGACATGTAAGACGTATGGGTGCCTACAGTTTTTTTTTTAGTGCTCACGTCGTCTTCCAAGCTCAGAGGATAGACTGTTACTTTGTTGTCGAGACCTCCGCAAGCTACCAAAGCACCACTTGGAGCATAAGCACAAGCCATCACCCAAGTTGTCGGCATTGTAACAGCATGCTCTTTATTTGTGGTAAAAGCGTCCCATATTATCATCTTACCATCTTGAGATGAAGATACTATGTGTCTTTTATCTGGAGACCAGTCTGAGCATAACACTTTTGCTTGATGACCCTTAAGAATTCTTCGGGGCTTTATGTTTATACAGTTCATTGGTTCTAATCTGTCAGCTACATCTAACACTGAAAATTAAATTTTATATATTAGTTTGTTGACAATTAATTATATTTTTAGTACAGTGATACTGTACTGGGAAGTTAGCCAAGATTTGTTAAATATAATAAAAAACTTTTTTTGAAAATTTTCACTTAAGTTTTTATTAATTTTTACATAAGGAACTTTTTAATTAAATCTTTTTTATAATAATTTAATTGCCTTAAAATTCTAAAAAAATTTTTAATGTCAACTTCAGTGTCATTAAGTACCTGACATTTACGTCAGCTGTCATTTAACCATTTTTTAATTTTTTTAACAAATAAATTTTCTTTAAAAAATTATCGGTAAAAAATTGGATTTTCAATTTTTTTTTTATGATATTAAAAACAATTTTTTAATTCTATTTAACAAACAAATTTGTTTTGAAAAATTATTTAAAAAAAAAAATTGCAATTTTAACTTTCTAAAATTTCTGCGTCAATTTTTTTTCCATGATTTATTTGATAAAAAAATTTTTAAAATTGTTAAATGTCTCCTAAATTAATTTTTATTCTTTTTTGTCATAATTCATTATGAAAATTAATTTAACATATATTTAATAATTCTATTATAATAAATTATGGCAAAAAAAAATAAACATGTACAAATTTTTAAAAGTAAAAAATGCAATTTTTTAAAACTAATTTTTTGGTTAAATAAAATTAAAAAATTGTTAAATGACTGCTAATAATTAATATCTTTAATTTAATTGTTAAAAAAATTTACAAATATCTAGTAGGTTAATTTTTATTTAAAATAATAAAAAAAACTTACACGTGACGTCATTTAATTTTTTTCTCTCATCTTCAAGTCGAATTTTTAAACTTTCAGCTTCTTTCTCCAATTTTTCTATTTGCTCTGTTTCTGTAGCAGAATCCATTTTTAAAACTTGAACTTACTTTTACAATTACTCCAATAAATTCAATTTATACTTATCAAAAATTAAATATTAAATATTTCCTAACTTGTCATCATATTTTTGTTATTAACACTCATCATTTGGCAACTTGAGTGACACACGCTGCAAGAATATTTAATATTTTTTTTTAGACTGTTATCAACTGTTACGAATATATACACATCAATACATATGCATACATGTGAATATAACTCCAATCAATACACCATTGATGAAAATTATTTTTTGAATTACTAACTTAGTCAATTATTTTGAACAAATATTTACAATACAAAAAAAAGATACATACCTTATCAATTTAAGTTTCAATAATTTTAAGTAACTATTCAAATCATTTTGTGGATCAATAAATATTATAAAGCGTAAAAAATACACAAGATCCAAATAGTAAAATTTTTCCCCATGCGCAGTGAATTAGTGTCGACCCTCATTGGTCCACATTTAGTTTCCAGATAGTTCACAAATCCTTTGTTGACCTTACTACAATTTTTAAATATTTTTTTTTGTCAATAATTTAATAAACAATTCATTGTTAAAGTAGAAAAATTTATAATACTGAAGTTAACTGACAGCTGTCAATTATTTTAATTTTTATAACAATTAAAAAACACTTGAAAAAATTTCCACTAATATTTTTTTTTAATTTTTACATTTAGGATTTTTTTTTTTTTTTTAATAATTTTACTGATATAAATTTATAAAAGAATTTTTAATATCTTTTTTCAATGTTTTAAAAATTTATGACACTGAAGTTAGCTAACAGCTGTCAATTTTTAAAATTATAACAATTAAAAAATATTTAAAAAATTTTTTAATAATAATTTTTTTTTAATTTTCACATTTATAATTTTTTTTATAATAATTTCACTGATATAAAATTATTAAAAAAATTTTTAATGTCTGTTAACTTCAATGGTTTAAAAAATAATGATACTGAAGTTAGCTAACAGCTGTCAGTTTTTAAAATTTTTATAACAATTAAAAAATACTTGAAAAAATTTATGATAATTAAGTTAGCTGACATCTAAAAATTTTGATAATTTTTTTTATTGAAAAAAATTATTGCAAACAATTAAAAAAAAATTTCACATGTAAAAAACTCGAAAAACTATACATGCAATTTTTTATAAATATCTTTTTAGTCATTTAATTAATAAAAATATAAATCAAAAATTTTTAGACGTTTACTGTCATAAAAAATTTATAAAAATTCAGTTAGCTGACATTTAAAAATTTATTGAAAAAAATTATTACAAATAATTAAAAAAAATTTCACATGTAGAAAATTTGAAAAACTGTAAGTGCAATAAAAAAAAAAACATTTTTTAATTTTAATTTAATAAATAAATTAAAATCAAAGAATTAAAAATGTCGGCTAACTTTATTTTTATAAAAAATTCCCACTAATAATTTTTTTTTTATTTTCACTTTTGTAATTTTTTAGTTAAATTTTTGTACTTTGTAAAAAAAAAACTAATTAAAATCTCGCGCGCATAAATTTAGTTCTCTTAAAAAGCGCTAAATAACTTCCGGTCCGTAATTTTATCAATGGTTCTGCGCAAGTCAACACGAGAGACACTGCGACGATCGAGTAATAAGTGGAGCTAGAAGACTCGTTCTTCCGTTAGTGCTGTTACTCCCGACGTTTATCAAAAAAAATTTTCTAGTCCGTAAATCGGGCGATTAATATAAAACCATGTCTCTTATGACTCTTCGTCTGGCTGCAGCTGTGGCAAAACAACTGCCAAATGCAACTGTACAGGTAAATTCCAATTATTACTTCCTAAATAATAAATCTCGTGAGGCAAGTGTTGCCTTACAATTTTTTGGGTGCCGACATTTTTATCTCGCCAAGTAATACCGGGTATTTATCAACTATTTCCTTAAATTCGTCACTTAAAGTCATTTATTCTCCAGCACATTATTTAAAATACTATCACCCAAAAATTATAATTATTTTATAGAGGATTTTTTTATTTTTGTATATTACATAAACAGAAAAGACACCAGTTATGTAATATTCAATATGCAGTGTACTATTATATTGAGTTGCTGACCCATGAGTGAAAAATAATTTACTAAATTATTTTTTAGATCAAATTGCCAGCCGCTGCTATTGCCTCTCGCAAATACCATGTTTCGTGCAGCCGACGATCAGCTGAAATTTCTGCCATCTTGGAGGAAAGAATTATGGGATCAGCCCCAAAGGTTTGATAATTTTTTAATAATTTTTTTTTTTTTAACTTATGAATTTAAATAATTATTTTTGATTATTTAAAGGCTAATCTCGAAGAAACTGGTCGTGTACTGAGTATTGGAGATGGTATCGCCCGTGTATATGGTTTGAAGAACATCCAGGCCGATGAGATGGTGGAGTTCAGCTCGGGTTTGAAGGGTATGGCCTTGAATTTGGAACCTGACAACGTCGGTATTGTCGTCTTCGGTAATGACAGGAACATCTCTGAGGGTGACATTGTAAAACGTACCGGAGCCATCGTAGATGTTCCAGTAGGTGACCAACTTTTGGGGCGTGTTGTTGATGCTTTAGGTAATCCTATTGATGGCAAAGGTCCATTGAACAACAAATTGAGGTTCCGTATTGGTACCAAAGCTCCTGGCATTATTCCGAGGTACATTTAAATTCATTATTTTTAATTAAAATTTATTATTTTATGTACTTGCTATTTTTATTACTCATAAGATGAGTAATAAAAAAAAATTATTAATATTGCCAGACATATAACAATTTTTTAGATTTTTTAATAATTAAATTATTATGAAAAAAAAAAAAAATATTTTTTTTATCACAATTTTTTTGAAAATGAAATTAAACAAAATGAAACCATGCTATTAAATTTCTTACAAATGAAAATTGAGTTACCCGACTTGTAAACATTTTTAGAATTTTTTTTTTTTTTTGGAAAATTAGTACAAAAAAATAAAAAACAATTTCATTTGTAAAAAATCTTGAAAAAATACAAGTGCAATTTTTTAAAAATATTTTTTAGTTTTAATTTAATAAATGAAAAAAAAATTAAAAGCGTCAGCTAACTTATGCTAAAAGACCCAATTATTGTTACTGGCCTAATTATTGACACTTGCAATTTTTTTTTTTAACTAAAAAAAACAAATCAACTCTTATAAATTAATAAATACTAGCAACTTTGTAGTCACTATGTGACTGCCGTGACTGGTAAACTATAAATGAATAAAATTTTGCTTTTTTAAATAATGACTTTTGTTAAATTGCACTGTACTTTTTTAACTATTGACGTTTTTAAAGATATCAGCTCATCCTGATATTACGCTAATCAAGACCTTTCATTTGAGTACCCACATCAATTTTTCATATATTTATATATATTATGTATATGTATATATGAAAAATTGATGTGGGTACTCAAATAAAAGGTCTCGATGAGTGTAATTTCAGGATGAGCTTATATCTTTAAAAA